GTTTTATTCTTCAGTCCCGCGCTGAAGATTGAATATTTGCCTTCTAGAGTTTTCATGAGCTAAAAATTGAACACTTTTCAAGAACAAGGGCAATAACTCATACTCAATATTATTCAGTATCGCCCTAAAGAGTTCAAAAGAAGTGTATGACTGAAGGTTGAATATTTCATACTGGTGATTGTTACTGTACTGCTAAATATTTTTATTCAAAATCAAAGCTGCCAGTGGGTCGATATTACCTTGCCTGGCAAGCTATCTTTCTTACATTCACTTCCAATTCCAATTTGCTCATTCAAATTACAGTTTTGTGAAACTAATTGTAAAGTTTCTGCTTTGTTTTTGGGATATAAAATAAAAATACAACAATTTCATCAATACTTATAATATTAATAGTTGTTCACATTATTTAAAACAAAATACATGTTAATATTGAAGTGTAAAATATTTGTTATAAACTAAGAAAATAATAATTTTATTTTAAATTAGCACTGTCTGTTTTGTTCTGCTTGTCTTAAAATACGAAAATCGCTTGGTATAAATGTAGAGATTATATTTTTTTTTAAACTGTTAGTTGTAAATAAAAGCCCATTCCTGCTATGATCAAATATTCTGCCTTCTTTAAATAAAACTCAGTGATCTAAAAATGACTATAAATGTGACTTAATGTCCATAAATCTGTATTTTGACTAAAAATATCTTTCCTTGGGAAAATTTTTGGGATTGTGTGCTGAATCACTCTTACCTAAAGAAATTTAATTATTTTAACAAAACTTAATTGTGTACTGCTCGAATATGATCTTGTAAATTATTATTCCTGGAAAAATCTTTATCACAAATATGACACTTAAATCTCACATTAAAATGTTTCGATCTAATATGGCGTCTCAAATCACCAGCATATCGATAAGACGCTCCGCAAAGATGACAAGATTCTCTTGGCCAACGTTCTACCTAAAATAACAAGAAGAATCAAATTAACAATTTGGACTTAAATTTCTGACATATACATGCTATAACATGGTATACGCCATACGGCTTATCAATCTCTTAAATGTCTATAGCAGGAACAAATTAAATTTTATAACATTTGTGGTCAATTTTCAATTTTTTAATTGTTTATGGTTTTTGCCAGATCAAATATTTTTGGTTGTAAACATGTCAAGATCATGAAAACCTTGTCAAGCATCTTTTTCCTTTCACAAAATACTCCAAAATCAGCCTATTATTCATAAAAACTATATATGGTAGATTCGTACCACCACTCAATATTCTCGTGTCTGTGTTATGCCAACTTAGTGATTTTTTTTGTCCATTATTAAAGATGATAAGAGATTTTTCCAGACTCACTTGAAGGTAAGGAGGGGTGTATACTGTTTTTATAATTTATAGTATTAGTTTATGTTTATTATTTATAAAACCAGTTTTATTGTGTAAGAACCCCATTATTTTACTGTTTTAGTAAACATTGTGTATGAATTATATTATATCTTTATCTTTCATAACAGAAATATGTGACTAAAATAATTGTATTTGTAAAAATACAACAAATAGGTAAAAATAATCCATTTAAAATAAATTTTAATTTGATAAATCTGTGTTAGTCTCTAGATATTCAATGTGTTGTTCTTTGATATGGGCTTTCAATTTGTATTTTCTAGTAAACTTCTTGTTACAAATAGGACATTGAACTCTTTCACCAAAATGTTGTGATTTAAAATGACGTTTGACATCTGCAGCTCTACCAAATAATTTCCCACAAATTGGACACTGCCTTTTATTGTAACCCTCAATTACAACCTACAATAATAAGAAAACTTTAATTTTCAAATGTCCTTGGTCTAATATGAATCTTAGTAAAATTATAAAAAATTATGAAATTTCCAAATGTCCTTGTTCTATTGAAAATTGAGTTTATAATTACATTTTTTATATGAAACAATAATGAAACCTCTTTCAACATAACTGAGGAAAATGATCATGTCATAACATACAAAACTTGCTTTAAAGGGATAGATTGACCAATCAAACTTTATTTTCAGAAACAGGAATTTTTTAGCTAACCCAATCAGTAATAGTGTTCACAGCTCATCGTCGAAATTTGACTCTTGAAATTTGAAATCCATGCGAGTCCAGAATTATCCACATTTGAATGTTAAGATGACAACTTGTCTTTACTTGAGACATTTATAAAAGTGAAAATCCTAGTTTGAGGTATTTTTGAAAGAATTATGCTGGGATCATGCTTGCTTTCTTGTTTTCATTTCATCTTAACATTTTTTTTGATTCAATCATTACTGAAAAATTACAATATTAAAATTTTTTTGGCCCCTAAACTTGAAATATTAGGCACTATATTTCTAGAGTTATTTTGCCTGAGTAGGCCTATCTCTATTATAGATTGTTAATTTTAATTAAGTTAACTGTGTCATGTAGGCCTATGATCAATTTAATTAATTTACAAGGCTTATTTAAAAAAAAAAATAATCAATTTGGAGTTTCAAAATCATGAATTTACGTGCTTGGCAAAAATCTCCCAACTTTTCATCAAATCTCCAGATTTTTCAAGGCAAATCTCCAGATTTTTTTTCTTGACCTGTACACGTCCAAAGAACTGGTAAGGCCAAATTTATCAGTGTAATATCAGGGGCCCAGCTTTAAAACATAATATAATGTATAAGTTTGTTTAATAACATTTTGTCCAGTTCAAATTTTACATACAAGACAGATGTCATATAAATTAAACAATGCCAACTAAGAAAAGTGCACTGAAAGTTCAAATTACAGATAACAAAATATATAACATCACAATATTTAAGTTTATAGCAACAATATTGTGTTAAAGAAAAACGACCTTATTTTACATGATAACAATTCCGTTTATCATATTTTCCATGTCTTTCTTATTGCTGCTCTCATACCAAACCCTTGGTATTGATCTGTTCTCTTTTACAGCTGGTTCAATTGAAATGAAATGAAGGATTTATTCAAGGACTCAGACTTCCACATGCCAACCAAGATCAGTTTGAAATTGAAATTTAAACACTAATTTTCATTCGACCAAGAAACCATGTTTTATGATAAATCAAAAATATGATGAACAGTGATCCTATGTCTTCTGAAATTATCCTTTCTTCTAAAAATGCGCTGACAAACAGAACAAGTATATTTTTCAGTTTGTAAATGAACATTACGCATGTGACGAGCACAACTACCAGCTTCTGTAAAAAGTTTACCACAAAATGGACACTGTTTTTTATTCTCCCATTTAGAATCAACCATCATCTGAAATCAAAATGAAATTTCTCATGTAAATAAGGAATTCAAATTCCATTTTGACTCAATACAATAGAGCAAGGTACAAAGAATTAATCTATTAAACTGTTATGATTTTGAAGTTCATTCAAGCTCCATATGTATCTGCAAAATGGTAGGGCAATTAAATGTACTGAACGCAATATTAATACTATTTAAAGTGTTCTTATACTTGAGATGGATTCATTCTTATCATAAAATTATTAAAATACAGGTAAATTGGTGAAAAAGTAAAAATTATCACATGACTAAAATGTAAATTGGTCACAGTTCATGTCTTCTTTGTTAAGTAAGTAACTACTTAAATAGGTATTAAACCAACCAAATCGTACTATGACTAATTTACCGTTTGACTAAATTCAGCTTGTGACCACAATATTGTAAACGATCACCAACGAACTAATTACTGTGACTAATTTGGCTGTGACTACTAGTCTTTGACTAAGGTAACATGTGACTAAATTACTGCCCTTGTTTTAATGAGGAAGCTTTTTATTATTCAATAGTGTTATTTCTTACCATATCTAGATCTATCTAGTCCAAATGCAAAAAAGAAGCTCTAGTTTAAATCTCCCCTTATTTTGAGATCAAACAAACCAAATTAGATAGAGATGTCGATATAGCTTATAGATTTTCGCATCCGATCTTTTTCAATCCCTTGGGACAATACAACAACGAATAATTTCATTGCAAAATTTGAGATTGCACAACACGAGTAAAGCTGTCATTACATGTGTATGTAAGCGCAACTCAAAGGACATAATTATGTAAGTAGACTGTTGGATTTACTAATAAGGACTAAAATGGTTTGCTATGGTGTGTTTTTTTCTTGGGCCATATTCTGAAGATAGGGTTTATTTTCATTGCTGAATTAAATTATGTATTGTACAGAAATACTATAGTTAACATTTGCTACATGAAGGTAACAGTTGAATAATGAAAATATAAAATCATAATGATATAAAAATGACACATTTACTCAGAACGATATAAAACGATACATTTATTCATAATGATATTAAATGATCATAAAAATATAATAATAAAAATGATATGTTTGTGTAATAACACAGTAATGCAAAAAAAAAAAAAAAAAAAATGAGTGTCACTATGATTTACTAAATACAAAATTCTGAAGAAAAATTACCAAGTCAAACTTCAAGGGTCTATCTTAATATTGGTACACAAAGAAGAAGCAATTAACAATAACTGACAAAAGAATTCCTATAAAAAGTTCAACAAAGAATGTAGCCTACATACCTCTAATCATTTGTAAAAAAAAGTGTGTGAATTCATACATCCTTCAGAGCATTCAATTTTAACTTTTGACAGTCAGATAAGACATTTCTGTACATATACATTAAATTAAAAGATGTCCTCAATGCTATAGAGTCAGGTGTTTGTCTAACAAATACATATGTCCCCAGTACTGTGGCTATGGCTTACAAATTCCATGTTTACTTTTCAAATGTTTTTGAAGGTGAACTTTTTGAGCGCATGATTTACCACATATTGGACACGTCAAGCGTATATTGAGATGTTGAGATCTGACATGTGTTCTCAGATTAGATCTATCACTGAAAAGCTTACCACACCATTCACATGCTCTTGAATCAATCCCCTACAACATAAACAAAAATCTTGTTTTAACATAGGCTAAATATTTCTAAAAAAAAAAAAAATTCCACAGATTAATAAATCTTGACTAGAAAAACTCAAACACTCAAATTTTACATCTCGTTCATAAAGAATAAATGAAATCAAAATCAAAAGTATTATTGAAGCCAAGCACTAATATGTGTCAAATTATAAACAAAAATTAAAGAAAGGAAAGGAAAAAGTTTTTGAACTTGTAATATTTATAACAAATATATGTATAAAAAATATGACATTAATGTTGTTGGGTTTGTTTCCAGCTTTTGAAAACCTGGAAAAGGCAAAATCTTGCCAACAATACATAAGAAATACAATTTTTTTCCTGCGTATTTGTTAAGGAATGACAAAAATCAGGAAGTGTATGCACATTATTCATCAAACACAAATACTTCAAAGACTATATCTTTGACCCTGTACATTCAGAAACAAGAAAAAAGGAGAAAAGTTATAATACAAAAAGTCATTTAAAAAAACATGGCAAAATGTAGCCTGTCAAACATGGACTTTATAAAAGAGCCGGATGGGGCACAGGAACATAAAACGTAAAATATCTGCCATGTATTGATGGACTCATTAATGGTTCAGCTTTGTGTCTTTATATCCATCATACTTGATGTCCATTTTTTACCGTTACCTTCATATTAGAACTACACTTGAAAATTATGAACAGTTTTTTTTTTATTGGAAACTAGCTTTGACAGAACATTACTGAAGAATTGACTATAAGCACATATTAATCAACAAGATGAGTTCTATGAATTCTTCTTATATGATCTCGAAGATGGTATTTCTGAGTACAAATCTTGCCACATATAGGACACTGAAAATTCTCGTTAAAATGAGCATGACGAATGTGTCGTCTCAAATTACCACGATGACTAAAAACTTTACCACAATCTATACACCTACAATTTCCATCTTCAATTCCAATCTACAACAAATCAAAAAGTAGAATTTCAATTTTTTGAATTAGAATAGAATGAAAAATCAAAATGGTGTTTTTTTGTTAGTTTTATAGAGAAAATCAGTGCATCATAGCAAACTTATGTTGTCTTTTTTAATTCAGTATTATGGGAAAGTTTTTAATGATGAAAATATGCAACATGTGTTTCAATTCATTTGAATAATATTGTGAATTATTATATTACTTTGAATATTCATTAACGTGGCTAATTTTTTTTCATTTTCTATACGGTAAAAAAAATATGCTCATTACAGCATGATTTAAATAATTCGTTTTCTTGAAACAAAATCAATTAATTTTCAGTATACTATTGAACTTACAAATCCTTATAAAATTAGTAACCTAAGGTGATTTTACTTAACATATTAAAACAAGAAAGTGCTAAAAATAACAATTAGTAAAATAATACACATCAATTAAAGTCATTTAATAGTCATCTACAAAAATTTGACAAGAGTTTTTTGAAATATTTTACAGCATTTCTTACAGTTAGCACAGTATTTCATTTTGGAAATATGGACATAATTTGATCTTTATGTACATTAGTTACATGAACTTTAAGATTGCTTTTCTGTGCAAATGTTTTGTCACAAAGCTGACATCTATAAGATTCTTTTAAATGTGATCCACGGATATGTCGTCTAAGATTACCCATATGACTAAAGACCATTCCACATATTTTACAAACTGGTTGGCCAGAATCATGAACAATCTACAAAATAAGACAACAGAAAATTAATCATAGCCTATTTCTTTAGATTCCATATTTACTAGAAAATAAATCTCAGGGATGTATTTCAAAATATTGTTGAAGTTCTAACTTATTACATATTTATATTTCTTGAATTAGGTTACTTAGAAATACCCTTAATTACAAGTGATGTTTCTATATAAGATATGTTCAATTGAAGTAAAGGTAAACACTGTTCAACAATGTTAGGTGTATCTATTTGTTTAATTCTGTGTAAGGTTTGACTAATAGATTCTGGATCCAAATAACACAAGCACTATTATACAAAAGGTTGTATATAATCACTATGACATTGTTTAATATGTAATTTAAGATATGATTGTCTAGAGAATGATTTATGACATATAAAACAATCTGGCCGATGATGAAAATGTTTTTCTTTCAGATGACGTCTCAAATTACATTTCAAGGTAAACTTCTGATTACAATAACTACAAGTTACATCTTTTTCCTTATTCTACAAAATATACAAATATTATAATTAGTTTTATACACATTTAGACAACTTCTATAAGTATATCTTTATCTTATTCATGCATATTATTCTACATTTTAATATTTTAAAGATTAAACCAGACTTAAAACTTTCTGAAGATAAATCTGTTAATGTGATTGTCAAAACAGTTTGACTTTCAGAAAATCTCAAAGAAAAGTATTTCATACTGTAAAACAATGAAATAAAATAGATATTTTGGCCTCTTTGTAAATTTTGTATAGCAAAGTAAAAAGTCAAAGTCTATTAATCCTTACATGGTACAAATAATCAAATTATTCAAAATCTTGTCAAACTTTAAAATGTTAAATTCCACTGTACATAAGCAGTTCTGTTATGCCCTCTAATAATTATCAGTGGCAGGGAAATTGTGTGTATTTCTTAAATGTGTTTTTAAATATTCCAAACGATAAAATGATGCTGAACACATAGAACAATTCACACTTTTAATATTCAGGTGTTTTTCTTTATTGTGTCTATTTAAACTGCTTCTAGTTGAAAAAGGTTTGTTACAAGGATAACAGATCAATTCTACTGCCTACAAAATATAAAATAGAAGAATTAGCTTGAATATCTCAAAAATTCACTTGATTTTTCCTCTTAAATCATAATGATGCCAATAAGATTCCTATATATAGAATCATGCCAAGATATACTATATACAGTATCAATATCTTAATGGTAACATTTTAACCTACATTTAGTGAAATACTGTATAACTATATATCAATTGTTAGAATTGACATTTAATAATCAATATTGATAATTTATATTAATGTAATATCATTAATACATGAATATATTCACACCAATAGCTTTAATGTACCAATAAACTGTGCAAGACCTATTAAAATACAAGACTACCTATGAAAATATACCATTAATACTGTAAAACTCCTAATATATTTTTATGAATTTGCTGGGTTATGACAATTTTCATTTATGTTGATCTGACTAGATATATAATGACATATCACATAACCTGAAACGCTAAGTAACATGTTTCAAGTTAATATTTCTATATTGCTCTACAATTGTTGTATTTAGCACTATTTTTACAGTGAAAATATTTTATTTTTATTTTAACAACAGATACATGTTGTACTTGTGAATTTATGTTTTGATACCACACATGAAACAGTCAATTTCACATATCATCTCTCTCACTTCAACACTTCCATTAAACATTTGGTGTATTAAAATTGTTCTGAAACCCTATATCATGGACAGTCTTCAAATGTTGTCTTAAATAACCGTCCCGACTGAAATGTCTATGACAAATAGGACAAGCAGCTCGATGTTTAGAGTTAAAATGCTGTTCTCTCATATGTCTTTTAATACTGCTTTTTGTTGTGAAGTACCTAGTACACAAAGAACAATAATTATCTGGGCCATCTTCTGCCTACAAAACATCAAATACAAAATTATTAATCTATTAACATACCAATCCAAACACTACAAATAAAAACATTAAACATTTAATTCTGTACAATGAGTCATCTAGATTTTTAAATTGCCAGCTGATAAGAGTTCAATTTCAACACTTCAATGTGTAAAAGAAATTTTCAGATAATAACAAATGCATTGTTATTCGTAACCTAATTGTGTAACCTAGTGGTGATGATATATCTTTCCTTTTTTCCCCAAAATTCTGTTCTGCAAATTGGTGGACTGTACAAAGTTATATTTTATTATCCTGGGGCTGACATGGAAAAAGCGTCTAGTCATTCAAAAGGGACACTAAACCGAGGCCTGGTGTGCTACAGGCTGTGCACATTAAAGATTGCTTGACAGTTGGAAATAAAAGAAGAGCAAGCTAATGCTTCATTAGTCTACATGGTGCAGAAAATCAGGACATAAAACTTTATTCATTTCATTTCTGGCAATTACATTCCGGAATATGACCTTGACACAAATAAACTCTCGAACTTAATAGTTGACATTCAAGACTATGTTCAGCTATTTGAATGTGTGTTATTTCCATGTGAGAACCATACATAATTTGTATGCCTGTTTAGCCAGTGACATAATGGCAGTGTGCCACCAGTGATATTGGTTTTATGGTTTTTGAACAGAAAGATCTGAAGTGATATATGGTAGTCCATAATTCCAAGCAAAGCTATTGTTGAGAAAATGCTATAAAATGACTGCATACATATAATGATTCCCTTTCCAATAGGAAAAAAAGTAATCCGCATCAGCTCAAAATATGTCACACAGATGCTAACAGCTATAGAGGACTGTGCTTAATTCATATTAAGACCAGAGTTTGTAAAGGGCTTGTAAGAGGTTTCCATCTTTTTTATGTGTAACTTTTCCTGAAATTGTAGAAATACTTAACCGTACATGATATTCATTCAAGCACCATTGTGAAAGCTATGTCATAGAATTTGTAATGTTTAGTTTTAATGGCATTGCAAGAACCACTGACTGAATATTAGAATGGTGCAAATACAATCTGTGTTTCCTTTAAAAAAAAGTTTTTGGAACCTTCTCAAAACCCCCCTTTTGATGTCAGCACTAGAATCTGCAGTTTTCATCTATACAAAAAAGGCAAAATAACAGTTTAAAAATCTTTTTCCCAGAATACAAAATATACAGATTAGTCTTTAAAACCAAGAAAACTACATCAACAAATTTTTGATGACACAAAATTCAAATTATAACCATACTTGAATTAATTTTTAATTTTGTTGCTCCATTTAAAATACAAACAAGATAGCTTCCAGTCAAGGTAATATACACCCACTCGCAGCTTTGATTTAGAATAAAAATATTTGGCAGTACAGTAACAATCACCAGTATGAAATATTCAACCTTCAGTCATACACTTGTTTTGAACTTTTTAGATACTGAATAATATTACCAAGTTTCGTTGAAATCTGTCAAGGATTTTGGGCGTTCTAGAGTGTTAACAGGCTAAAACTCATACTTAATATATTTCAATTTTTCTGATTTTTGATAGGGTTCATCCTTGAGTGATAACAAACATTTACACCAAGTTTAGTCAATAATTGAACCTTCTAGTGTTGACAAGCTAAAAATTTAAACCATCTTCAAGAACAAGGGCAATAACTCATACTTATTATTTTTCGTTTTTTTTTTTATTTTCTTCCTTGGGTGATAACAAACACTCACACCAAATTTTATCAAAATCTGTCAATTATTGCACCTTTTAGAGTGTTTACGAGCATTTAAAAAACAAGGGCAATAACCAATAGTAAATATCTTTTGATTTTTTAATTGGGTTAATACTTGGGTGATAACAATCAGTCAGGAATTATGCCTTCTAGAGTGTTTACGAGCAATTGTGGATGGAGGGAGGGATGTGGACGTATAATAATAACTAAATTGATTTTGACAAAATGGTCAGTGTATTAAAACCATGCAAAAAAATTCCTTCTTCAATTATCCCTTTGGAATGTTAAAAACCACTTCATAAAAAAGACAGAATTAGGATTGGCATTATCTGTATGTGTCTTTCCATTCATCAGAAACACGCCTACTTATATTGTTCTAGACACTATTATACTGTTGAATCATTTTTGTACAAGCGTTATGGCTAAAATTACAGCATCCATGTTGTCTGCATTTTTAATTCACTAATCTTAAGCAGAAATATTATGGACATATTTTATATGTTCTCTTAAAGTTGAAATTCTAGAAAAAGTTTTTTCACATAATATACATTGATGCCTCTGTTTTAAATGCTGTGCTTGAATATGTCTAGTTAAACTTCCTGTTTGAGTGAACGTCTTTTGACACCATTTACAACTTGCCAATTTTCCCTACAAAATACATACAGAAAATTTTAATTATCCTTCAATTTTGTCAAGGTTTATTCTTAAAGGTCATATCTGACATCAAAATTAATCACACTTGAATAATCATGCAAACAGCAAGAGATGATACAAGAATTTACAAGTATATATATATATAAATGTTTGATGATATATGCATACTTTTTTAACATCAAATTTCATGTAATATTTATCAGTATTTACATTTTTATTGATTACAAAATACTAAAATTAACTTTTCAAAATACAATGTTAAGTACCAGTACTACGAGTAGTAGTACCTTGTATTGTAACCTTGATCATGATCATACCTTTCAAATATTTCAATAGATTCATGTACATTCATTCATTCATTCATTCATGTGTCTTCAACAAATGAGTCGTGATGATGACGTTTTATATGAGCTATCAAATGAGCTTTTTGAGTACACTGTTTATCACATAATGGACAATGCAATCGAATATTCAAATGAGCTCCTTGTGTATGACGCGTTAAACTGCCTCTCTGTGTAAAATGCTTTCCACACCAATTACAGACAAATTTTCCCTACAAAGAAATAAAAAACAACTAGTTAATTCTTCAAAAGAATTCCTTTATTATTTTTCTGATCAATAATTTATTTCTTTTAATTCTTAGTTTAGATCTAATACGCTTCCATACAGTGGTGCAGTAGGATAGTTAATTTAATTTGTGTTTTTGTAATGTTTGTGTACATGTGTTCAATTACAGATGTATTTATGAAATTCGTGTGTAACAAAAACTTAACCTATTTTTTATGACTATCAAACTAGAATTAACTATCACTTCCTAACATCAAGTCAACTAATGCTGATCACTTGCAAATATCTAACATCTAAATGTTGGTATAAAAGCTATCCAGAGCTCTACTAGCAATTAAAATCTGACCCCAGGTTTCTCGTAATTCAACAATAAGGCACTGTCTCAATTAATTTGTCCTTTCTGGGCAATATTGACATACTTTTGTCATTTGATCAATATTTTCATCATAGTTAGAAGTCCCGAAAGTGTAAGTTTCTGTGTTGAATTATAGAATGAAAATACAAGTATTTACTTGACTGTATCTAATTTATGTTACATGTTATCTGCAGTTTGTAACATAATGATGATACTATTGGACAACTTCATATAGGCCTCAATGTAGAAAAATTGAACAAGTATCTTTTTATTTATCCTGATTTCTTGAAAATATTTAGATGTAAGAAATTGAAATCTGTTCATAAATTAGTGTAGAGAATTAGCTGTTGATTACATTTCTTATGTTATAAATAACAAATATCCATGATTTAAAAGCTAGTCTACACTGTTGTTTACACAGGAAATTTTATGATGAACTCTTAAATGACTTCTTAAATTGCCCCTCTGAGTAAAATATCTTGGTGAAGGACACACAGGACATAAATATCGGACATTTTTATGCAATCCATTAATGTGTCTGGTTAAACTGCCACTTTGAGTAAATTTCTTGCCACACCATTGACATATCAAACGTTCACAAGGACTCTCCTACAAGAGATTAAAAAAGTCCATTTTAGATTTTGACTGTAATTTAACTTTATGTGGTCGAACAGAAATATCCACAACAAACATTTATCATATATCAATCAAGCCACGGCAATCCTTTTTAGACAACAAAATTTTTCATGAAATATTTATTGTATTACATGTACATCATAATTTGATGAATTAATATATTTCTATCCACAGATTGTGTCTGTTTTTAATTTTTAACAGGTAAAGATGTTTATTATTGAAATTATAATTCAACTAATTTTAAATCATTGCCAATGATATTCAGAATGTCAAGTTTCGATTTGATGTAAAAAAAGAACCAGTGCCAATGAAATGGATATAGAAAGCTAGTTGTCAAAACTAAAATCAAAATAACAGTAATGCACAACACAAAGGCTAGTATTGTCAAAGTTAATATTGTATGCACCTCTGGAACTTCTTTACATATTTTTTTTTCATACATCATAACCCTCTTAATATGATCATTGAAAGTAACAAACTTCATTTCCAAAAAGTAACCATTCTAGAATCAGATATTTTCAATGACTGCTTGCAACTAACAGAATCTTTGAGTATTAGATCAATTGCTGGCATTATTTGCTGTGAATGCACCGTTAAGTAACAAATGGCAGTTCTTAATGTTTTACTTTCAATTGTTATCAACCAGTACAGTTGGAATGTTGCAGATCCACTTTATGATGTGCACAATCTTTTATTCAATTCCTTATTGAACATGTCATCATGAAAACAGTAAATTCTTAATCATACATAGTTCAAATCAAGTAAAATAATGATCATGTACATAGAAATAGATTGATCTAGGTGGTACTGTAGACAATAATTTGGTACACATTAAGGTATTAACCCTTGTAATTTGCAATAAACTAAATGTCTTTGTATCCATGGACAAATTCAATATGTCGCTTTAAGTTTCCTTTCAATGTGAATTCTTTTTGACATATTGGACAAGAGATTCTCAACTGAAGATGAGCAACTTGTATATGTCTGTTAAGACTTCCACGTTGGGTAAACATCTTGTGACATGTTGGACAGGAAAATTGTCTCTCCTGAAATAAATAAGTCAATTGTTTATGATTTAATAAATGTTTATTTTCATAAAAATGATCATAAAATTTACATCTAAAATCATTTAACACTGTTTATTAATAAACAGTTTAAATTGTACTTTGGTCTGATCTTTCATGTGTTTCAAATAAACCTTCACATTAGTTCAGCATGTCACACAAAATTTACTTCAAAATTAACCACAGGAAATAATGCTTTATACAGAAACGTAAAAACTTGTTGAAAATATAAATTACTATCTTGAGCCTTAAAGTTTCATAAAGTTTTGTTAATAATTGTGCCAGACTATTTACAAGTTAAAATTTTAACATATTTAAAGAACAAGGGCAACAACTCAGATAATTACTTATAAATTTCGTTTACAAATTAAGATATAAGTTAGCCTAACAAGAGAAAAAAGCAAACCAACCAAATCCACTCTCATTTTTTCCCAAATCAAACTTAACTGATCTTTTTCATGTTTTAGCCCAAAATATTTCGATGGTGACTGTATATATGACTTTTAAGCTTGGTTTGTTGACCAAACAACCTTTCACATCCTTCAACTGGACATTTCATACGAATATTATCATGTACAACTTTAACGCGCCGTTTTAAACTTCCAACTGTAGCAAACTGTCTAGAACACAGTCTACATTTAGTTACATCTTTATCTAATGGTATCTCTTTTCTTAAACTGAGTCTGTTTATATGCTGGTATGCCTAAAACACAGATATAATACTCAGTTAAATTACTGCTTTTGTGAGCAAGAATAGTATAGGTATTATAATATTAGAAATAATAAAATATTTTGACTATTAAAATAGTGCTTAAAATATCAATTTGTAGAGTGATATGGATTATCTATTGTAATATGAAAATCATATATATAAATCATATACAAAATCTCAATCAAATAATGTTAAACAGAGCTAGTAACCAAAACCATACTTTTAGTAACAAATTTGATTGTCATCATAGTAATAATATATTTATATCAACTGAAACTATTTGATGTCTGCTCTTAACACATACATGGACCCATTTAACTACCACCATTTTTACAATCTTATTGCATTTTATTTTATCATTTAACTGTCAATCACCACTAAGTGTCAACACCTTGCTTTTCATCAAATTATTTTGTATCCCTATAAAATCAGTTATAAAAAAAACTACTACAATATCAGAGTGGAAACAAGTAACATATTATAATTTGTTGTGTTGTTTTTTATCGTTTGTCCTAGGAATATCTGCATTGTGGCGAGTAATAATGTGATTCCTTAAGTCAGAAGTTTGTCCAAAACGTTTGTCACATCTTTCAAATGGACATTCTATTTTGATGTTTTCGTGGACCACTTTAACATGTCTCCTTAAACTTCCTGATGTTGCCATTTGTCGATGACAATATGGACACTTAGTTTCATCACTTGAATATTCTCTTCTGCTCATCAGATGCATCATATTCATATCCGTAGGGACCATTCCAATCTTATGTCTTGGTTCTCTTAACCCCTACAACACAGATTTAGAAAAGTCATTAATACAGATTCCTACAAATTAGGAATTTCCCTTCATTTAAGTTTTAATAACGTAAATGATAGCCCCTTTCAGATCTAATGTCAGTATTGGTAAATGGTTAATTCCAAAAATTTGTATTCAATTAATGTTTTGTTTAAATATTATTTTTATTCTGAATATATGAAACATATAAAATAGTAATTAAAAAGATATAGGAAATTGTTGATATCTTGTACAGAAATAAAAAAAACAATTTAAATAGCTGAGTGTTGAATCATGTCTTGAATATAGTATTATGGCAAAAAATAAACAAATTTGAAAAACCTATGTGATTAAGGCAGAAAACAAAACAGATTTGTTCAAAAATTGATAAGCACTATCATTCGTACTTAGTAGGAACACAATTGCACAAAATAGTTCTAATTAATCATGATTGGTGAATTTTCATATGTTGTCTTAGAGTAGATAATTGTGAAAAAGTCTTCAAGCAAACTGAACATTCGGCACGCTTTCCATAATGTAAACTTTCAATATGACGTTTAAGACTCCATTTTGATGTAAAACTTCTACCACAAAACGTACAAGAGAATTCCTGATCCTACAAAACACAAATATAATTTGATTGAAGATTTTCTTTAATTTATAATCATAAATACCTTAGAGAAAAAATCGTTTCAAAGATAAATGATTAATAAGAAGTCACAAAACTTCAAATTCTCAAATAATTGTTAATACCGAGTTCTCTTCTAAATCACATTTACAAAGTGCTATTTTTGTGATTAATCACATGCCTAAATTTCTGAGTTCAATATCACTGTGAATGTTCATGTAATAAAAACCCTCAAATTGTTAAACCATTTCATTTATATAAAAGTTATATACTTATATAAACTATAGACCCATTTTATGAACATTTTTGATATGTCTGACAAGATTTCCTTTCTGAGTAAAAACACAATCACAATTCATCACTGGACAATTAATTCGGAAATTCTGATGAGCTTCTTTAATATGTCTTTGACAGTTGCTCTTGGAAACAAACTTTCTGGCACAAAACAAACACTTATAAGACTGGTCCTCATCAAGATATATACCCTACAACACAGATAAAGAAATTTCAAATTAACATTATTCTAAATGATTTCTGCAATTTAATTTTGCAGATCTCTACATATTGTTTTCTTATATTTGTACATATATGTTGCAAGTTTATTGTGAAGAAGAACTTAAATTATTCATAAGGATAAAGGATCAATCTTTTCGGATGTTGGAACTGGTTCTACATGGAATTCCTTGTGTATCATTTGATTTACGCAAAAACCAGTCATGACTATGGAGTAGACTAATCAAGGTATTATTAAGGTTTATATTATCAATATTAATTTCTTATTTTTAAATAGTTAAGTTTAATAATTGGTGTATTCATGATTTTGCATTTGTTCACTGTGTATATGTTTCAAATGTTCCTTCAAATTTCCCTTCTGTGTAAAACTTTTAGAACATAGAGGACAATCAATTCTTATTTTCAGGTGTTTTCCTTCTATATGTCTTTTTAAATTTCCTTTTTGAGCAAAAGATCTGTGGCAAAGGTTACAGGAAAACATATATCCAGATTCCTACAAAATAAACAAAATAGAACTTAAAGCAGCAATAAGTAATCCAGTAGAGAGATAAATTGCAAATTACATGAAACTTAATGTGTTTACCTTCATTATCTAAAAATATAGTACCAGTGGAAATATTTTTGCTTTAGATTTTGTTTTTTTGAACAGTATTAATTTATTTTGAAACAATGAGCACATCTAAGAACTGGATTAGTGTTGTACTGCACAAAACTCTATATTAGTTCCCATCGTAATTGAAAGCGTTTATATAAGAAGTAGCAAATTTATTGATAAGCATTACTATGTAAATGCATATAATAACTTTCAAGTAAAACTATAAAAGAAGTATAATAAGATTAAAACATCTTGTCATTATTGTAGGCTATTTATTGAATGTATTTTAGTAAACGCAATAAACAACAAAGATAATTATTCACACCAAAATTAGTTTATTCACCCGATCAACTAAGCAATGATAACACTAATGGTACTAGGTTAAAATTAATCAATAATATTTGATAATCTACATACAATATACACTCATTTTTATAATTTTAAAAAATACTATGATTTCATATTTTACAACAATAATGAACAAATGAATTTATAATAAAAAAGTTGAGCACATTTTAATAAATGGAATGAAACAAATATTTTTACATCCTACTTTTCTACTCCATTAGAAGACAAACAATGTCATAAAATAAACAATTAGAACATATTTTCCAGGGGAGCATTTTACATTTTCCAAATATCAAGGTATAATTTGCACATTTGCTGATATCAAACACTGGAACCTGGGTTATTCAACAAGTGCCTAACAAATTAACACATTCATAGTTTCCACTGTTTTTGTAGAGAGAATGAGATGGAAATTTGGGGTTAATATAAGAACCTCTTATCATCCAAGGAATAAAATCATTTGAACTCAGAACCATGAATATATCTGAAATGTTCTTTAAGAGTTCCTTTCTGAGTGAAAGTTTTTGGACACAATGGACAAGCAACTCTTTTGTTTAGATGCCCTGTGTCAATGTGTCGTTTTAAATTTCCCTTACTAGTGAAGGCTTTCTTACAGTACATGCAGACAAAATCCTACAACAAAAAAAAAAGAAAATACTTTAATGGCTTGAAATTACAAAAAAAAAAAACCATTGACTCTGATATGCAAATACATGAATGTTAGTTGAAGAATTGAAGTTTGTTAAAATGAGTCTTTGTTCATCAGTGGACTTATCTGGTATCACAAGTATACAGTAATTTTTAACCATACTAGGAAGCGTGTTTCAATAAGTATTTAGTTTAATGGATATATCGTCTTATACAGAGATTATATTCTTTAGTCATGGCACCTTGCCCAACTGATGACCATGTTACAGACTTTATATTTCATGTCCATTCTAAGAGATAGTATTCTTTAAATAGCAGGAACTAAAACAGTGTCAAAATGTTCGTATACAGAATGTAAATCATGAAATGAAAAGAAGGAAGGCTAAAGGTGCGAATAAACGAGGTACGGTGTCTGGTACAGGATTATCAATACAGTAGAAAATAGAAGAAACGCAAACGTGTCCAGACCGCACCCATGCCTCGTGTGTTCACTTCTATTTTCGTTTGTATCAATTTTTCCGGACACCGTATTTGTCCATTCGAGGCTAAAGGTGGAATAGAACCTCTGATTGTATAATGTTATCTTTCTTCTTAGGGGAAAATTTAAGATACATGAGCACATCAGACTATGAATCAGGTCACAATTTGTCAAAGTTACTATTCTAACTGTATGCCTTATAGTCTTATGAATGATCTATGGGAATATAAATTGTAATGTGAACATAGCCCATATAAAGCAAATTTTTCCATACAACCTACAAATTTTCAGATCACTTCTGTCAACTATATTTATTCAAGCATGACCTCTTTATTTTTATTGAGTTACTGAACTAACATGCTTTAGTGAAATTCAACAAGTGGACATTCTATTTTCACTTTTTCAGTCAGATGATCCTTACTAACACCAGATTGCAGCACACCTTAGTACAGGTTCACCATAATAGGAATTTTCCATTTTAACAGATAGCTTAACACGAGTTCAGAAGACTGTGTCAGATCTAACAATTAGTCAGTGTATATGCTTATTCACGTCAGAATGACATGAAATAAAATGTGACTTTAAATTTTCCTTCCTGGTAAAGCTTTTATGACAAACGGGGCAATTATTTCTAATTTGTAAATGTGCAGACTGTAAATGTCGTCTTAGGTTCCCTTTAAAACTAAAAGAACTTCCACAGAACTGGCACGTAAAAAATGATGGAGCCTAAAATGGAAAAGAAAAACCAATTAGTTTTTTTTTTTTTATCTTTATTCAGAAATCAAAATATAAATATTGGAAGTTTTCTTTCAGAAAAATATTGAAAACCACACATAACTGAATATTTCAACATGAAAACCTCCACAAGTGATAGATAAGGTAATAATAAAAACGATGCATATCCTTGCATTTCCCCTATCAAAACCAGTTATGAAATTAACAAACCCTGATTCTCCAGCTAATAAAATCATAAAAATAATTTTCACAATAGCGATTTAAAACATATAAATTTGAAAGCTATATATATATATATATATATATTGAATTCAGCAGCAAATTTGTTACTTTGACAATTTCTTAACTACAGGAAGAAAGATCACTGGTAAAAGTTGAACTTTCATAAAGGCAAAGTTTTCAAAACATCCCTATGATTGATATGAACATGTTCCTTAAGATGACCTTTCTGAGAAAATGATCTAGTACAAAAAGGAAAATTTAAACGAATGTTTAAGTGCATTCCATTGATATGTCTTGATAAATTGTCTCTCTGAGTGAAAACTTTCTGGCAGTAACTACAAGTGAAACCAGTAAAAATTCCCTAGAAAATAATCAAAAATATTTTTCAATTTGCACATGAAAATTCTTCAAATTAACCAATATGTTAAATAAATTTTATTTAATGAAATTTAAACATTAGAGTTATGTATGGTATAGTGAGATTTTGCAGCAATTAAACATACAAAGTAATTTGTCGCTTATTTCCAAGAAGTTTTGTTCTTGTTTAGCAGTTGTACAGAGAAATTGAGATATATTTGAAGAATGATGTTAATTTGTATCATTCAGAGAATGGAAATTCACATCAATAGAAATTTAGCCCCATTCTTGAACAACCATAGCCTGTTCATGCTGTAATTCTTCATAATGTATACGCTTCATATGAGTTCTTAGGTTTTCTAAGCGTGAACATTTCTTTTGACAAAATTTACAAATCACATGTAGATTCAAATGCTTTTCTTTTATATGCCTATTCAAGGCACCTTTCCACAGAAAATCTTTTCCACACACAGAACATGTATAAATTCCTTTATCTTTGACCTAAAAGTAAAAATGACACATATCAGTTTTTTTTATGTTTGTGTCTTTTTATTTGATTAACATCTGTTTCAGTTTCTCTGATCTTATAAATGCTTCATTTCAGCAGGAAATAATTTATCTAGCAAAAACCCTACCTAATTTCACAAATATAAACTAATTACTCTTTAATTAATCATTAATTGAAAATATGCATGTGTAGAAGAGTAAATATCATAGATGGTACAAAACTTTGATGGGAGAAAGGCATACCATTAACTATCTTTTAATGGTGTGATTCCCAACCTCTCTTAGCCTTCACACCCCTAGAGCATTCACCTAGACCTTTCACACCCCCAAAGAATTGTTTCATCCACATTTTCGGCCATGTGTTGATGTGAGGTGCTCTATCAATTCAAAACAAATTCTTTTCCTACACATGTTGGCCACTCCCCTGACACTCTAGTCCCACACCCTCAGGTGGTGAAAACACCCCAGGTTGGGAACCAGGGTTTTAATGTGTCAGTTATTTAAAATGAACATTTCTCATATGACTGGATAAAGAGTCAGGTCTGTTAAATTCCCTGCCACAAACACTACATTTAAATCTATAGTTTAGATGATTTCCTCGCACATGTCTCTTTAAAGCACTTTTCCACAGAAAGCGTTTAGCACACCACACACAATTGTAATATCCTCCTGATGGGGTACTTGAGAAATCAAAGGCCTAAAATGATACAAAAGAGTGGAATAAGACACTTTTATTATTTGTAACTAAACATGAACATTTTATGCAGTAACATCCTTAACATCATTGTCTGTCTGTTGAATTTATTAGATTGCTTTTATTATACAAGAAAAAATAAATTACATTACAGACTTAAAAGCTGAATAACCCAAGATATCAGGAAAGGAAAATGTCAAGAACATAAGGTCACAAATCATTTGGTTTTGATGTTGTGTACAAATATATGTATCAAAAGAAAACTTCAGAACTATTTTAATTACTACATATTGTCTCTTCTACATTTACAGCATTTAAAAGTTTATTGTGTCACATATTTTCTGGAAGATCTATCTATGTTATGTATATTTCTGTAATGTGATAATAAAGCACTCTTCCTAGTGAAGGTAGAAAAACAAATATCACATTGAACTCTCTCATTAAAATGACGAGAAACAATATGTCTTTTTAAATCAACTTTCCACTTGTAACTCTTCTCACAATACGAACAATTCCAAGCCTACAATTACAAGGGATAATCTGTAACATGGATTAGATGAAGTCAGGAGGCTTACTATTTTAAACTACATGTATAACTATATTTAATTTGTTGCACCTGATAGTCCAAAATATCCAACATGATAACCAAATTATAAAAGACCTCTGAATCACATTTTAATACAAATGTTCAGTCTTAAATTGTTTTGGGTTGATAAAAATTTGAACACTTAAGAGAAAGTATTTGATAATTCAATATGTTTTTCAATTTTGTGGCACTTGCAACCAATCTGAGAGCAACTGAACACAAAGTTACTATAAAGTAAACCATGATTTTTAAGTCCAGTTTCTCTCAATTTCTGCAAGATGCAAGGGACAGATACTAATTTTGGGGGGTTGATTTGAGTCTTGAATATATGTAAATAGTTTTCAGAAGTACTACAAATGTAAAAAAAAATGAGTAAGATTAATTCTTTAAAGTTCTTCATCTCAAAAACACTAAAGATATCAGACTGGTTTCAGTATAAAGAAAATCGATAATAGGGATAAACTTTTATTTGTTAATACAATACATGTACATCATTATGCATTGTACTTCTCTGTATGATAAATATGAGGATATGTAGTCTGCTATTCATTCCTGTAAGTAGCTGGTAGAATATCTAACATACAATTACATTCAAACCAGCATAGGATACTTTACTATATTGGACAAATACAAGGGATTGTAAAGAGGTTTTTTAGCCTTATGTGTATCGCAGACACCTTTGACTTTCATTTGGGACATTCCAATTTTTTTTCCGAGGCCTGTGGCTCCTGCAATTTCAGAAAAAGTTAATCAAAAACTTGATTTACCAAATTGTTGCCTGACTATATTCAAACCGACCATTTTATCATAAATAATTGTATTAACCGCTCTTATTAGCACAAATATCATAAAACTCTCTATTCTGTTAAAACTAAGTAATATAAGACATAGTAATGAGTTTTATAAGGCAACGGTGAAGCAAAATGTGAATGAGTAGGCAATTTTTAGTTAGAAACCATCTTCTACGGAAATAACATATGTTATCATGCAATTGTCGTCTGGTGGCAGGTTGGTTACAAATTCTTTTACGGAAGCTGCTTTTCCGGTTAACTCTTTCTGGAATTGCAGGTACCACAGACATCGGATGAAGAATTGGAATGTCCCAAATAGAAGTCAAAGGTGTCCCGGTTCACCTCTTTACAATCCCTTTCAGGTATTAAAACTAAGAGTGATACAGATCCTGAATACAAGATTATTTCCTATATTTGACTTAAACTGTGTGCATTTCATTCTTCAGTGAGAAGATTTGTAATGAACATTCAAGCTCCAATTTCTTGTAAAAGATGCTTCGCAAAGGGTACATTTGTATCGCAGGTTTAAATGTTGAGCTGTCATATGTCTTTTAAGGTAGGATTTATATTGGAAACTTCTAAAACATACTGGACAAGCAATACCACTTTGTGAAGAATCCTGCAATGGATTATAGAGAATTGTGAGTAATATGGAATAATCTATTAAAGATCATGTCAAAGAGTTTGTTTCATATTTATTGAGTTATGTATGGATTTATAATGATCTGTTAGCCTCCAATTTCTAGTAAAAGAGGCTTCACACATTGTGCATTCATATCGAAAATTAAAATGTTGAGCTGTCATGTGTCTTTTTAGGTAGGATTTATATTTAAAACTTCTCTGACAAACTGGACAAACTATACCAAGTGATGGATCCTGCAATGAACATACAAAAACTTAATGCAATTGTATGGATAACCAAATTCTAGTGCAGTTCTCCCTTATTGGGTTAACACTCCTAAGGATACTCATATACATCGACTTGCTTAAAGACAATATCTCTTTTTCAAATCCCTAAGTCAATATGAGCCTCAAAATACAGGACTGTTGGTGTTAAACAAATACTAGGTTCATTTTTAAATTAGTTTTATTATGCAAAGTTTTTTCTTACATGATACAACTGGATTCAAACTATCAATAAAAAGACAATCATTCTCATGCAACAAATACTAGGTTCATTTTTAAATTAGTTTTATTATGCAAAGTTTTTTCTTACATGATACAACTGGACTCAAACTATCAATAAAAAGACAATCATTCTCATGCAAGACCAAATTGAGATTAGCCTGTTTATAAACAGTTAGTAGATATTTGCAATGCATACACCTAAATAAGAATATGAAAATCTGGCAATTCAACATCCATAAGCTCTCAAAAGTACAACAGACCAAGAATATAACCCAGTCACTTTGTGCCATGAAAACTCATTTTGTATGAAGCATATTAAGACCTTATTAGCACACTTTCTGTTTTGTCAAATAGGAAAGAAAACAATTAGAAATATCCATATATAAATTTGATTTGATTTGAATGGAGTTTTAGGTCCTACTTTTCTGCACCTTGTGGGCTAATGAAGACGGGCAACGCCAAGCAGGGTGCCATGAGGGAAATTTTTCCAGGACTGCGGCATTAGCCTGCTTTTTTTCGATTTCCAACTGTCGAGGGATCTTAAACGTGCACAGCCTGTAGCACACAGGACCTCGGTTTATTGTCCCATCCGAACGCTTTTTCCATGCCAGCCCCTCTTACCTGCATAACTGACAGGGAGAAACCGGGTTGAAAAATCCGAAGGTATTATCTCGACCTATGCCGGGATTGAACCCTGGACCTTCAGGTCAGCGAGCATTCGCCTTACATCACTGAGCCACCGCGGCTCCCATCCATATATAAAGAATCAAACCATTATTGCCTATTTGAGTAACATATTGAGTCATATTACTAAGTCACTTGAATTGTTTCACATAATCTGAATCTTTATGAACAGTCCTATAGTGAACATTCAAATTTCCTGTTAAAGTATAGCTTGCGTCACATAATTGACATCCATATCTGTAATTGAAATGAACTGCTTTCATATGACGTACAAGGTAGGATTTCCATTTAAATGATCTGTGGCAAACTGTACATCTATAGGCAAGCTTATCCTGTAATAGAGTTAGATAGATAATTTAACAGTGCTAATCACCTAATAACTTAACAGTGTTTATCATCTTATATTGCTGATAACTTAACGGTGCTTGTCTTTTTACACAGATAATTCAGAAGTTAATTTAAGTGTTTATCATCTTAAAACCAAGATAATTTAACAGTGTTAATCATCTTGTAACACAGATAATGTAACAGTGTTTATCATCTTATAACACAGATAATTTAACAGTGTTTATCATCTTATAACACAGATAATTTAACAGTGTTTATCATCTTATAACACATTGATTAACAATGGTTATCACCTTAAGACAACATAAATTTCAACTGAAATGTTTGTCATTACATGCAGTAAAGTTGTAGATCTACTGGAGGCAAATGTACTCACAAGACAGCATTAGTTGAGCCATCTATGACACAAGAGGAATATTTCACAGGCATACATTCCTTACTTTTATAGAATGAATAATTATGTATAATTATAATAATTTCATGTTTAGCAGGGCAGTTCAAACCACAAGACCTATGACAAAATCTGGGGTGGTCGGGAGATATCTGGCATGTTTTGTCGAAAGATGTGCCAATAATTTTACACCATTATTAAGTGTGAGCAGGCCTTTACGAAAACAATCAAAACTAGAGCCACACGTGGCACAGAGTGGGACTTTGCAAATGTAGCAAATTGCAAAAGACCCCGAAAAAATCAACCTTCCACGATAATTAGATCATGTGCAAGAACAGTCTAAAGTTGAGAAATTTTCATTTTTTAGAAGATTCTAATACCGGAAGTAGACGTCAGACCTCACAAATGTAACTATCAGCAGATAGCCAAGGTCAATGACCTTTGATCTTGTAAAGGAGAAGGTCTAAAAAGGTCAAGATCAAGAGATATACGTCATAAAATTTCTAATTGCACACGACCATAAAACCGGAAGTTGACATAGGACAGCAATTATAAAAGTATAAATAGATAGCCAATGCCAATGACGTTTGATCCTACAAAGGTCAAGGTCAACAAAGGTCAAGGTCAACAAAGGTCAAGGTCAAAAATTGAAAATTTTGAATTTCCAAAACCTGTTCCTTTTTTTGAACTATGAAGCGGAAACAACCGAACTTCGAAGACAAACTGGCTCAAAACATGAGGTAATTGTATGCAAAGTTCCATTTTGAACAAATGTATACTTTGCGAGTTATGCCCTTGGCCAAAAATGTCAATAATGAGTAATTTAACCTGGATGTGCCACGCCCACCTCAATTTTTTTTGCATAGGTTAATTGATATTCAAAATGTTTTGTCGTATTCCAAATTTCAAGCTTCTACATCATACAGGTCAAAAGATATAGGTCAACAAAAGTCAACAAAGGTCAAAATCGAAAAATGAAAATATCCAAATGTACAAAACCCGTTCCTTTTTTGAAACTATAAAGCTGAAACAGCTGAGCTGTTAACACAATCTGGCCAAAAGGAAGATGTAATTGTGTGCAAAGGCCCTTTTTGAACAAACGCATCCTATGCGAGTTATGCCCCTGCCTCTAAATGTAAACAATTAGTAATTCAACCTGGATGGGCCACACCCACATAAGTTTTTTTGTCATAGGTGAATTCATATTCAAAGTGTCTAGTTATATTCCAAATATCAAGGTTCTACATCAAATAGATCATAAGATATACGTACACCAAGCTCAAAAAGTCACAAATATTGTAAAAAAAAAAACTCAAATTTGAAAAAATCACGAATTTCAATTTTGCTTTAAAATAACGATTGTTATATCTATGTAAAGTACACGAGAAGCACATTAGGAAACCGAAAAAATTTACTCTCTAGGTTAATTAGGTCACGTGCTAGAGCAGTCCAAATTTGCGAATTTGGCTTTTTACGGATAGCCATAAAACCGGAAGTACATGTCGGAGGTCGAAGGTTAAAGTATCAAATGATAGCCAAGGTCAATGACCTTTGACCCTATGAAGGTCAAGGTCATCAAAGGTCAAGGTCACAAGAAATAAGCTTTCAAACTTTGAAAAAATTCAACCGAAAGTTGCAAAAATGCAAAAGCGAAATTCAAAAATCGGCTCCCAATGTTTTGTAGACTTTCGACAGCAGATTACATCGACACCAAAATTACGCAGGTTTAGTTTATTCCTAAGGACTTATTTCGAATTTAAGAAAAGTTGGAAATCAAAATGGCGGCCAAAGTATCACTTCCGGTCCGGCCATAGATTTTTATTTTATATCGCTCAACGAAATTCCGTTCATTTTGATAAATCTCACCGGAAGTTATTCGACAAATTCGATTTTGGACTTCAAGTGACTCAAACTTTGAAACCAGAAATGACGTAAAAAATCTTGACTGTATCATATCATTTACTTAAGTGATGTCTATTTGCATTTTAAATTTCAGATCAATCGATGCAAAAACAAAAAAGTAGCAAAAAAATTGAAAAATTTGATCGCAAAAAGTTTGCGACAAAGTTACGAATTTCGAAATTTTTTAAGTGCTATCTAGTCGACATTAGCCACCAGATGTTAAAATTGAAAAATGTTTCAATTTATATTTATGCACAACATTGCCATTATCTAAGGTTCAAGAAAGTTGAATGATTGCTGCAACTACTGCAGTCTAAGCTCAGGAAGGTGTGTAAAAATCGAAAAAAAAAAAAAAAAAAAAAAAAAGAATTGACATTTCGATAACAAACTGGGACTTTGCAAAAGCAAAGTCCCACAATCAGTTGATAAGAATTTTTTTTTTATTCCAAAAACATAAAATTGTTTGCATACATACAGCAAAGGGCCCTTCAGCTTCATTGAACAGTAAGTAAAACAGAATAACAAAATCCAAAAATCTGTTGCCAAACAAAACCCTGCTAGAAAAGGATAGAACAAGATTTGGGTTCCTTTCAGTTAAAATTGGTCTGCATCTCAGAGCACTTTTCATGACTTAGTGCTATATTGTGAATCTTTTGAAAATGTTTTTTCAAATGAGCTGACTGAGTGAATTGTTTTCCACAAATAGTGCAAGCTACTCGAACATTGAGATGTAATGAACTAATGTGTCGCTTGAGGTTAGAATTACTCCCCATCTTTTTACCACATGTTAAACACTTGTACTTCTCAGAAAGCATCTAAAACATACAAAAATATATGTTTGTTATCCAGATAGTCATATTAATACAAACTCTTCACATTGTCATTTTTCAAACATAAAACAAGATTGTATATGGTATTGTTGTCCACTGTTGTTTCAAACCGATTGCATCAAATAGTTCTAATATCTAATAAACCACAGCAAGTACACACACCCAAAATATCAATCAATTTAAACATCAGCTTTGCTTTCAGTTAATTAAACGTTACGAAGCTATAGTTTCTTATTTTTTAAATGTACGGTACATGACTATAATTAAATTTTCTTTGTTCAATTTATATTCTTATCTTGATATATCATTAAAGTAGTAAACAAATAATTTTTATAAAAGCATTATTCAACAGAGATGTGACTTGTTTTCCTTATTCACTGGGGATTGCTTTTCCACACAAGATTTGTAGACCCAACATTCATATTGTGTTCGACTAAAATGTGTCGCTTAAGTTCACACTTTTGTTGGAAAGATCTACCACATATGGAACAGTGGACAGCCATTTTAAGATGAACTGTTCTGATGTGACGATAAAGAACATATCCTTTGGTAAAGATTTTACCACAAACAGTACAAGAGTAACTTTTACCACCAGCCTAAAATCAGATAAAATATCACTTTAGAATCAAGATCATTCAAAAACAAGCTATATGCTACTAAATTAGTAGTTCTACAAGACACTAAATTACTGCAAATACTTGTATTCATGTATAAAATTCAAGTTTTACTAAGAATTATACATCTGTTCCACCCGAACTTTGGTATATGTACGTCATGGTGCTATGAAAAGTAGTTAATTTGGGTTGATTAATAAGTGGATGTTTATGAATCTTTCAAATCATGTCTTGGGCAACAATTCTGTATGAACTTTTTTAATGTGTCTTTTTAAGTTATCATCCTGTGTAAAAGTTCGGTAACAGATTGGACAAGTCACTCGATAATTCAGATGTTTTCCTTGAACATGTCTATCTAACTTGCTTTTATGTAAGAATTGTTTATGACACCATTGGCAGTTTAATTCACCAACTTTTACGTGAATCTACAAAATAAATAAAATGTCTTTTATTATTGAACATATGAACATGTTCCAAATGCAAATTGCTGGCTATGCCAGAAACAGATACTTGATAGCAGAAGATTCATATTCTTACAATTTATTCATGAATTTTAACATATTTTCTCGTCATAACTATTCATAATTATATATCTTTACTGCAATGTTTGTAAAATTAATGTCATTGTAATATTGATTATATATATGTAGCTCACATGGAGTATAATTTTTACCCACGATCTTTCTCTTTTGGATACTCTATTCTTATAACATTTGATCCTCCAATCAATTTCCAATTAAAATTTACCCAAAGCCATTTCCAACTAATTTCACGTATTTCAAGAGGCAACCTGTTGATTCTGCCATTTTATGATGGTGCAATCAGATATACCTTTAATCATTTGTTAATTGACAACACTCGACAATGGATTAGATTAAAAGATGATATTCGAGATTGGTTGATTAGGAATTTAATACGGAAACACAGTGATGAAAATTTATGGGCTATGTGGCCATCAAATATTTGTTTCAACACTAGGCTTGCAATCAAAAATTGTGAGAAAATGAGCATAGATATCTATGATATTGAGAAGCAAAAGATAATTCCTGTTATTTTTAACTATTTATTTACCGGTACTATAATCTCTAAATAACATTTAGAAGTAGATAGAACATTAAATAAATACTTAAATAAATTTATTTACTGTTTAAAAACATATTACAAAGTATTTGATATAAACATTTGCTGAATAGAAGTTTGATTGTACTAGTACCAAAAAAAAAACTTCTAATAAGTGAAAATTTATGTTGTATTTTGATCTCCACACCAAGAATGCATCTGAAATTGTTTTGAATGTACTAATTTCAAATGTTGTTTTAAATTATCATTTTGAGAGAAAGATCTTTCACAGAAGGGACACTCAGCTCGATAGTTCAAATGTCTTCCTCGGACATGTCTTTCTAACTTGCTTTTAAATAGAAATGCTTTATCACACCAATCACACTTCCAACTTCCAGATCTTATCACAGACATCTACAATGAAAGACAATCTGCTTTATTGATGACTTTTCTTAAAATGACTCTTTAAGTTTCCTTTTTGATTAAAGCTAATACCGCACACAGGACAAGTAAATCTTAAATTAAGATGAACACCTCTAACATGTCTATCCAGATTAGAGGTAGTTGTAAATATTTTACCACAATGACTACAATTTAAACTTCTTCTCCCACTAACCTACAACATACAAAAATATCTTCTGTCAATATTCCTTGGAAATCACAAAATATAGAGTTATATTGACTACAAATTATCAGTATTCACAAGAAGATCTTCTCTCACTAATTTCAAATGAAACTTCTTAATATGATCCCTTAAATTTCCTTTCCAATTGAAAATCTGACCACAAAAGGAACAAGACACTCTTTGTTTGAGGTGTACGCTTCGAATATGACGGTCCAAATTGGAAGATGTAGAAAAAACTTTATGACACCAAGTACAGAGACCAGTCCTTCTCTCCTAAAACAAAAAACACACCAATTAATGAAGGTTTCCAAAATATGTCAGTAAATTTTGTGGATATTACGTAAATGCACTTTTAAATTACTTCTTTTCACGAACTGACTATCACAAACTGGACAATTAACTCTATAATTTAAATGTTTGATTTGATAATGTTCTCGTAAAGTTGATTTCCTAGTACACCGCACTTCACAATATGGACACTGAAAACCCTTTGAATCATGACACGTTTGATGTTGAACTAAATCTTGAACGCCTTTTGATATGTACCCACACCAACAAGAATTGTTAAATGTTGGTATTTCCTAAAATAACAAAAAAAACTGAGCATTATTACGCTTATCACTAAGGGAATCATCAACATGAATAAAATGTTAACTTCACATCGTTATTCTTTAAAAAATCCACTATTAGAATGTACTCTCTTCACATGTTCTCTAAGGTTGCTTTTACGCACATACTCTAAATTACAAAAGGGACAAGTTATTTTATAGTTCAAATGTTTAATATGAATGTGTTCTTTTAAATTGCCTTTTCTTGAACAGCAAACAGGGCAATATGGACATTTAAAACCTTTTTTTCCCATATGCTCAAAACCACTTGTTTCATTAACAATTCCCTAAAAGAAAAAGAAAAGTGTGAATGTATCATCATTCAAGTCAACCTTAGTAAAGGTAATAATCTTGTACCACAGACAAGTTCTTTTTATCATTTCTATCAATTTAAAATTAATCAAATCAATTCAAAAGTCATAAAGGCATGATATCTGCATCAGTGCTAGTTGTGTAATAGGAAGCTAAGTTAACCTGAAGTTAGAAGCCTTCTTTCATAAGGACTTTAAGTGTAAGGACTGCTCTTATTCTGGACATTTGTAGTAGTGTTTGTATGTAAAGTATTGTCAACATAAGATATAATTGGTAATATTAACAATTCTACCATTATTACACCCTTTATTAAACCAGTTACATAAACTGACGTTTGTCACATAACAATATCAATATGGTGTATGAATACATCTCAAAACAAAACAATGACTCCATCTAAGATTTGTGTATAAGACAGTGCAGTTTGTATCAATATAAATATATATAATGCATGTTTGTGGCATGATCACATCAACATGAATAAAATGTTAAGTTCACATCATTATTCTTTAAGAAATCCACTATTAGAATGTACTCTCTTCACGTTCTCTAAGGTTGCTTTTACGCACATACTCTAAATTACAAAAGGGACAAGTTATTTTATAGTTCAAATGTTTAATATGAATGTGTTCTTTTAAATTTCCTTTTCTTGAACAGCAAACAGGGCAATATGGACATTTAAAACCTTTTTTCCCGTATGATCAATTGCTTTTACACATCAATAATACTGAGACAAACATTTTCATTCCTACATAAATCAATATAACTTTCAATTATTATTTTTATATTACTATATTTTCATATTAAATGAAATGTCTCTCAATCTATTTCCCTTAACAAGTAAGTCACTTTTTGTTCCACTGCCCTTATAATAAATACCCCATTATTTGCCCAGTTCTTTATTTAGTTTTACTGCCCTTACAATAAATACCCTGTTATTTGCTCAGTTCTTCACTATAAACTCACTTATTATTCTCCAGTCCTTACAATAAACACCCGGTTCTTTGTTTTCAGCTTTTGACAAACTCAATATTAGTCTTATTATTTGCTAATTTTCTGCTCTTGTCAAGAAAACTATTCTGTAAACTTAGAAGTAGACTATAGTTCTAGTTCTACAATTTTATTACAAAAATGAATGTTCTCGTTTCTTATGGAACATGAGATTATCTTTCTGAGAATAATTCTTTCCACAGATATCACAAATTTCTCTTTGCTTCAAATGAACACCTTTAACATGACGATTAAAATGATATTTGGTTGGAAAACTTTTATGACACCATTGACATCTATGCCCACCAGCCTAGAATAACAAAATGTTCAATGAACTTTTAAGCCAAGCACATCACTAATTTTAGAGAAGGAGTTGTGTTGAAGATAGTTGGTTTTTATAATTTTTACATATTACTAATGTGAATAAGTGAAATAATAGGGAGCTGCAAGAGACTTTATCCCGTTGAATATATAGTAATTTTTTCCTAGTCATGCTGCTAGCAGGAATAATATTTTTTATTGATGTTCAAGATATCAAATATAGAGAAATGTGCCCTTTAACATATCTGAAAGTTTTAACTAAAAAAATTCAACCATTAATTTTTAAATGCCCAAAATATTAAAAAACACTGCATTTGGTTTTTAGTTTGTTATACTGCTTGGAAACTGTTGGAAACTACTGTAAGGATTTGCATTAAATAAATGCCTATTTGTAGAGAAATATGTTTCCTACATATATCTTAAACATTTCAACTAAATATAACTAGCCATTAAAAAAAACAAAAGGTCAAACCAATTAACAATTGGTAACCAGTTTTTAATTAACCCTTTAAAAACAAATTGATGAAAAAGATACATAAATATAAATAGCATATTTTAGAAATTTTTTCAGGTATAATTAAAATATTTTTGATTATGAAAACTTTTTTCAAAAAAGCAGAAGGCCCCTTTAAAATTCTTGTGGTATTTTAAGGAAAATTAAAGATAGTTAAAAATACTAACTGAAATTATTGTGCCATGACACAAAAAAAGAAGATCTGCATTTTACCAACTCCAATTTCTTGCATTTCTAAATAAATTCATATTGCAACGTTTTAACTAGACCTCTTATGACCCATTCAAACTGACATGCTCCAGCTAGGGCCTAACAGCAAAGATGTAACTTGCTATGAAATTTACAGCTAACTCCAATTAAAACAGGCCAAATGTACAAGGAAAAATAATATTGAAATATCCAATATCCAAGGTTATACATGGTTAAATTACTTAAATCAAGTAAAATTCTACATAATTTATCTCATGCTATATTTAAAAGAAAACTTGGACCTCTTTTTCACTTATATTATTTGATCATAGAAGATTTCTAGTAAGAAGTTGTTTGGATTTATGACAAAGATCTAAGACAAAGGAATATTATTCTTTTGAGAAGTAAGAACATCTGAGTAATATTTACATGTAAAAAAACGTGAAAGTTTCTCACCTTAAATCATCTTGGTTCATTGTCAGAAAAGAAAACTCGAACAAAAATCATGCTCACACAAGATCGTAATCAAGGATAAATATGTGGTCCAGATTGTTATAAACTGATGCAGATAGTTCAATTAAGTTTGAATATACTTGAGGTTGAGATTTTCATCATTGAAAATAACGCTGTGAGCTTTAATTGTGACAACATGCCATTTTGTCCCCTACGCTTTATGTATAATAAGTGATACTATCATAAAGATACAAAATGAAAGAATGGACAAAGCAAATCTTGAAACCCAGTAACGAGTATTAGAGTAAGATACACAATATAACGATATTATAGGAATAACATTTACAAGAGGAGATATATCCCAAACTTAGGAATGATATGGCACTACATCTATTAATTTCTGGGTACATGGTGATAGTTATTGCTGATTAACTCAAATCTTTGATAACTACTAGTGATGTCTGTAAGATACTTTGAGGCTTGATAATATAAAGCAGATAAAAACCACATGCTAGCAACAGAGTGATGAAAGCAGAAGACCTTTCAAACACTAATATCTATATTATACCAATCAAATGGTATTTAGGTAATCAAAAACTGGATATTTGGCAATTTTCTTTTGTTATGAATGCAAAAGCTTTCAGATCTTTAAGGATTAGAGGTGAAAAGGACAGTCTCGCATGTAGGCTTAGATTCAATCAAAATACACCTATAGATTATTAACTTTATTTTTTCCTGTGTTTATTTCATTAATTTGGATATGACAAGATGTCTGGACTGTCAGATTTAACATTCAAAAGGAAAAAAAGTAATGGTAATTACTATTGATACCGTGAATCCAGGAGAAAACTCTTCTATTTGAATGACATTGAAGCAAAATGAAATTTTCCACAAGAAAATATCAACAAAACAATCTTTAGTTGTATTCCATTTAGATTCAAAAGACAAATATGCTGTCAAAGGAGTTTATCCTTTCTGTATATTAACAAAACAAGGTCATCTTAAACTGCTGAAATAACTGCAACAAGTACTGGCTACTTTATTTTATTTTTATCCAAAGAAGTTTCTAAATGTTGTATATCTGAAGCCAAAATTTTATAAAAGGCTTTAACAGATCGATAAAATTATAGTTTGAAAAACTGATAGAGCAAGTTTAAGCAGAGCCTGCAATGTTTAATATAAGACTGATAAATCCAATTTAATTCAAAACAAGGATTCCCTTCCATAAATTTATAAATATCACAAAGATCATTATAAAGAACTAGAGTGATATTCATTACTATCTATGCAAGAAAGTCTGTGAATGTAAGGTCCATTAACGAAACTCTCCATATACATTAGATTAAAATGTAACAATTGATATTTTTAACAATACAAATTGTTAGAAACTAGAATCATTACATTTATTGTGGATGGGGTCTGGGTGGGGTAGCTCAATCATTTCTTTATGGACACTAGTGCTCAAGCTAGAAAGAAACTGTCCAAAAATAGATTTTTTTATCATATAAACTTTCCAATAAATATTGCTGGAGTTTTTCTTCTGAGTTTGAGCACTATAAATTTAACTGTATAGGGTTCAATAATCAGTCAGGGATATGATCAGAATAAAAGGGTATAATTCTAGATATCAATGACCCACTATCAAAGAAAAGTTGAATTATGGGGAGGCATTTTTTGTGAGACTTTCTGGTATTTTTCACTTTTATTTTAATGAAGGTTTAATGCGTTGACTCAATTGCTTTGTAATACGTGTTAATATGTAAAATATAGAACAAAACTTACCTGCATAAAACTTTCAGATTTGACTTACAGTTTTACTCTAAAGAGTATGGCCAAAAAGAAAATTTTTCAGTTAAATATAAAAACTTATTCTTAGATCCCAAACATGACATATTTTTAGCAGTAAGGTTTTGTCTGAAAATTTTCTTTTCTTCTGATGACAATAAAATACCACAGAAAAAACTTAAAATTTAGCCAAATTTCAGAGCAGCATCAAATGACAATTTGCTGTCAATGTTCATTTCAAAACTGATGATTAATTTCATAATTTTACACCTCAATCATAAGACGAGTTTAACAAAATGTCATCAAAAATATCCCAAACTATTAAATTACATAGAAGAGGCATATTTCGCAATTTTGTAAGTTTTAACTTGTGATTTTATAAAGTCAACTTTATTCCTTCTTCAAAGAAACAACCAATAAGCAAGTATGACATGGTAGTTTTCTTTGAACAAAGAAAACATATACTTCTATAGGGAAAAAAGACTGGATTTAATACTTCCATACTAAATACTTTATTTATTTCACAATAAATTTAGATGAAGAGTTGATTCCAGTACTTTAGTCTCTATTGGCCAGAGGACAAATGATTGAGCATTTATGTTCTTCAGAAAAGCAATATTTTACAGCAGCTCCAATGGAATTGTAGCATAAAAAACACTTGCTCTTAATGAAGTCAAGGAAAAGGGAACAATGTGAAGAGTTTTCAGAGCAATATCAATATGAATCCATTCAAATCTTTTATTTCTGCATATTATTATATGTACACTATGTTTGGTATTAAAGACATATCTTTTAGTAGAACTATTTGATATGCTCCATATTTTTTTCCAAGTTTGAGGTTCACACCTTAGTCAATAGACTTCAAATAATAAGCTTTCAAGAATCAACCAAAACATTCACTCGATGTTGATTAGTAATTTTTGAATGATCACTGTCCATTGTTTACAAGAATGGAAATTTTCTTATTGTGAAAATTCAATGATAGAATTCATGTTGATACTGATAGTTAATGGACCTTGAACAATGTTATATACCTTCGTTTCTTTTTACACTGCCCACTGCCACACATTATCAAAAAATTTAAGACATTTCAAATTTGTAGTCGGATAAGCATCGAACAGAAGACATTTCTAAATTTAGAGCCCCAAAACTGTTGAATTTTCTTAAAATGATTTATCAATGGTTTTTGGTAATGACGTTTTCAGTGAGTCACAAAATGAAAAAACTTGTATCTGACGATTGGTATTATCACACTATGTAGCAGGAGTACAAAAGTCAAGGTATGAAACATTGCTAATAGTTTGAAATAAACAGTGAAACGTACCTGTTGATTTTGAGATGAAGAGGCGCCAGAGCCAGACACTGAAAATTAAAATCCATACTGATAAATACACAATATAAAGGTCAAGACATATATATATTGTTTGAATTCAATTGTGAGAAATTTATGAAAAACTCTGTGGACAAATACAATATTTTATTTCAAATTCTAGTTCTTAACCAAAAAATCTGACAAGAAGTTCTGTTACCTTTTCTCATCAAAACATTCCAGCAAATAAATAAGAAATATATAAATAACATACCTGACATGTAAGCGCCTTGTGATTGGTCAGGTAAATTAGGAATATCAGAAAAACTCTGATTGCTTGATTCATTGGTATGTAAGCCTACAGGATATAAACCAACAGTTTGTTCGCGCAAACTATTGAAAAAATCATCATCATTTGATTCACCACCGAAACTTGAAAGACTGTTATCACCACCCTGAGCACCTGAAAATATAGAACACAACCTGTAATTGACACTATTCTATTAGAACTCATCGGTTATTTAATGTTTGAAAGACTATTTCTGAAAATATTTAAGAAAAGAATACAAACTAGGTCATGTAAAAGATAGAATATATCACCAATTTCCATAATCAGTTTCAAATGCACTTACCAAAAGAAGGACGCTGAAAACTAACTGCTGGCTCCATCACACCATAATTAGATTCAGAATCTAGTACGCTGTCTACTTCATCTTTTACTGAAGTTAAATCAATTTCTATAACATCAGGTTCCGATGGTGCTCTAGATTTTGATGGGGTGAAGGGAGAACTATTTTTATTTGAAGGCTCATCCTGGGCACTTGTGTCTAATGATGAAGGTAATATTTCTGATGAACTTGCATCAGTTTCCATTTCCGCTGTATTATTTTCAGTGTCAGAAGTTTGTTTATCCGTTTCAATATCTGGTGGTTGTTCATTTTGACTAGAATCACCTTCTGCGATATTTTCTGAGTCTTTTTCACCGGTTGACGCTGTATCTATTGATAAATCATGACTAGTGACAGATTCTATTTTTAGTTGACCATCATCTCCTTCTGTTTTATTTTTATTACTAGCTACAACACTACCATTTTCTACTTTAATAACTTCAAATTTAATATCAGGTTTATCTGTTGTATCAGTAATATTACCAGTAGAATCTGATTCTGGTTTATCAGCACCAGGTAAAGAATGAGCTGGTGTTGCTGATACTGATGCTGGATCAACAGGAATAGGAATGGACGGAGATGTTATTGTTGATGTTGCATTTAATCTTTGTGATGGTGATGTTGGTATTTTTCGTGGTGATAATGATGATAAATTCATGGATTGGCGCTGAGGTGATGAAAAACGAGGCATTTTAGCCATTTGATGAGGAGGAAGTCTATTTTGATCAAAGGGTCTTCTTCTCATTTGAGGATTTCGATTTAGTGAACCTGGGTAACCTTGAGGTCGTGAAAACTGACCTCTTTGATGCATTGTGGGTCTTCCTCCCCCAGGTTCATCTGTCAAGTCCACACTAATGTCATAACGAGTTTTACCCAAAACATTTGGGGTGGGGGGAGGAAGTGGTCTGTCTAAATTTTTCTTTGGTGTTTTTTGTTGTGGATCAGTAGCATAGAAACTTTTACTGATAAATGTTGTTGAAGATTCATCACTTTTAGAAACTTTTTCATTCACAATATAATTAAATTCTGTTGCACTGTCAACTGTTAGAAATAAATGACCCACAACTTTCACATTTTTATCAAAATCTACATTTCCATGACAAACCGCTTGTAAATTTTTCACTAAAGCTGAGATAAATTGGTTAGCAGATTTTTCTTCTAAGGATACCATTTTTCAGAATGTTATTTCACATTGACTAAAAAAAAAAGAAATTCATTAACGATTGGTAACTATACGAAATAATTCTCAAATTGTATGGCTCTTTATGCACCATGATAACTTCTAAAGCATCTATAGTCATCTATAACCCTGTTTCCACTAAGAATTTTATTGTAAAGTAAATTTTGCACATAGCTAGCTTCATTGCCAAATGCATTGCATTTACACTGAGTTTAACTGGTTCCTGAACGACTTTAGCCTCGATTACAACCAGTAAAATGCAATAGACCACAAAGATCAGTATGCCCCTTATTGCTGAACAAGATAAAGCTGGCTTTTTGCGTTTCCACTGGTTAAGTAAAAGCCAGCTTTAAGCTAGCTTACAGTTGACCCTGATTCATTTCGGCAATTTGCCCAGTAGAAACACACAAAAGCTAGCTTAAAGCTGGCTTTTTCCTTCAGTGGAAGCACAGTATATTATACTTGACATATAGATGAAATTTAATTTCTTCAATAAAAAGTCATTTTTGTATGGATGAAGTGAAATATAAACTCCAAAATACCCCTTAGAATAGATTCTTAGGTGTCTTAGGGTGAAAAAATTGGTGGCAATAAATGCATCATTTATAGGCCTATGACCTTATCCCCTGTCAAATGTTATTGTTAAGAATAACTCAATAAGATGAGACTATAGCTATAATTGGGTATACAATCCTACATATTGAGCAAACAATGTCACTATTTTACTGTGCAAAAGTACAGGGTAAATTTAGCTTAACTGCAACAGCCCACTTTATACTACGGTAACTAATTCAAGCCAAGGACAACGACAAGTTGAAGATACATACAATACATGGTCAAAGTCACAGTGCCCACATTGCCACAATCTTGTTGCTTAAAATATCTCGACAGTCCAGCATACTGTCTGACCTATATTCTCTTCAAGATTGATTTTGCGATAAACCGATTACTTTTCACAGCGTCTATACTTACAAATTGCATTGATTCTTTGTTGTGGTCATGAATTATCGCGGGAATGCAAGATGAAATTGTCATAAAGATCTTTCTAGACCAACCACGCATCGCGCACTTTGCTTGCTCATTATCATAATAGCTGAGAGCGAGGCTAATATTCCGGAAAACTGTTGAACCAAATTGTACGGATTAGTTTCTGCTTCAGAAAATGTATACGTAGCGTTTATATGCGTTATAATGATTGAAATAATGATTATGTAATATTTATAGCACAGTTTTCTGATTAAACAGATTTAAGCATCGAACGAACCCCAGTTATTTAATAATTGCAGACATTTCCATTTTAATTTGGTGGGGGTGGGGTCGAACTTTTTTCTTGCTCAAATTTGTGAAAAACATACCGGTATGCTATATTAGGTCTACACCAAACCATATTATCTCCACCCTATTTTGAGCAGATCTCTTAATTTGTGACCTCGGCCAGTGCTTTACATAGGAGTTTCATAATTTCTATGAACTTCCTCACTCCCAATACCAAAACCTACAGAAATGTGAGTTTTAACTAAAAAAAATTCATGCATGGTTTATTTTTTTCAACGACAAAACTTCGTTAAATTATTATGCTTTTTGGTAGGTAAGAAAATTACTGTGTAGGCCTTGGATTTAAGCAAAATAAAGGCCTAACTGTAGAAAAATAATATATCTAATCCTTCTTAAGGTTTCAACTAATAATATCGATCCATAATATATCCAAACACTGAACTTTGTCAAAATGCTTAATAAACAATTGGAACTCTCCATTTTTGAATTAACCCTTTTAAGACAAATTCGATTTCATCAAGTAGATACAAAGATTTAAATACCGTACTTCAGAAATATTAATTTTTCAGGTATATTTTACGACGCTTTGAATAGGCTACTGCCGATTGAAATTATTTACATAATAAAAGAAATAATGTATCATGAATAATATTCTACACGCTAGAATAATAAATACTGAGGATTCGAACCGAAAAACAGGAGCACCAAATCCAAAATAATAGTTGGACAATATCTTAAATTCCACATCTCCTCATCTCATAAACTAATCAAGAAGCTGTTGATCTTAAATTAATTTTCATCAGTCTGAATTAAGAATTCTTTCAGATTGTTAATCACAGATTAAGTAGCCAGTAGTCAATCTGTTATCATCACATAACATATTAACAAGGAAGTGCGCATGACTTTGAAACAGTTCTTTAATTTATTTTATAACTTTTAATATGCATTCATTATTTTTCTGTTGTCTATTAATAATAAATAATAATAATATATTTGACACATATTTCACATTTTCAGTATCAAAAGTGATAAGAGAATAAATTACAATAAATGCAAAGGTCTGTCACAAACTAGATACGGTACAGTGTATTTCAAGTTAAATCAAGATTTAGCCTAATATAAAGAAATAAGGAGTGATAATAATCTGGTGATACCATTTCATCACGATCATTTGAAAGTAAAGCTTTATATACAAAAGTATTTTGTAGTGATTCAGAGAACTTATTCCAAATCTTGATAATGTCTTGTCGGTGTTCCCTCGTCCGATCCGAAATTTTTGTTTTGTTTAAACGACAATTACGGAAATTGACGGAAATAATTAATGAGCATGTTGAAGCCATCTTTCTAAAGAGAAACGCGTCAGTTGCGGCAGTGTTGATATTTACAGCGAAAGCCATAATATTATGGTTTTAATCTGAAGAAAATTTCATGTCTTATTTATCTATCAGGTAGTGTGAATTACAATAACTATATTGTATATCATTTGCAGGTCATATTGCTGGCATGGAGAAAACATAGAGCACCTCCAATCGCAAGAGTGACGCTATCTTTACCGCCATTTTGCTAGATTGTGAAACTTGTCTGGATCATTTGGCTGCAAACATAAAATATGGTCAGCAACCAGTCTGTGTTGCTAATTTGATGTTTGTAAAGTTGCATCTTAAGCAAATATAGTAGTCTTTGGACATTTCTTTGCAAATGTTTGTGTTCTTAAAGCTGATTATGTACCTTAGATAAAGATTCTTTTGTTCGTGGACGTAGGGTAGGGTTGGGTAGAGGCGTCAACTACTGTTCTGACGACAATGATTTCTGAATTGAATTTTGCCAATCATTTCCGTATGAATTGAAATATAAACAACTAAATACTTCTGAGAGCCTTACATTGTCTTTGGGTTAATGAAATGTCAACCACTGGAAAAGTTTTTGCTTGTAAACATGATTTTACTGAGATGAATTTTCATTTCGTAAAGTAGGTCATTTTCAAGTGAATTTTCTGGGAGAGAAGCATGTCTATTTAATATTGAAAGTCACTTAACCTTATATTTCTTGGACCCAAAGACATTCTAAGACAAATGGCATAGAGTTGAATATTTTATTTTGAATATTTATGAAATTAGAGAAAAAATTCAAATCAGAGCTCAATGTCAGATACTAAGATAGTCTCATCAACTTGCCAACCACTTTGTCAACAGCCCCAATTTAAATTCAGTAGCACATGCTTCAAATAAAGTGAAAGTTTTGATGATTTTTTTCTGAGCTAAATGATGAAATTGACAGGGTATTAGGAACCTCGTCCCCCTCCATCGCCCCCGCCCCCCTTTCTGCAGCTCTGCCCACCTTCGTATATAATTACTAGGCCTATTTATCACTTACTGTACTGATTCAGATCAGTTAATTTTTCTTTTAATTTACAGTGATTTAAAAAGAAGACTATGGCTTTGCCAGATGAAAAATCTGCTAACCAATTTATCTCGGCTTTGGTAAAAAATTTACAAGCTGTATGTCATGGAAATGTAGATTTTGATAAAAATGTGAAAGTTGTGGGTCATTTATTCCTAACAGTTGATAGTGCAACAGAATTTAATTATATTGTGAATGAAAAAGTTTCTAAAAGTGATGAATCTTCAACGACATTTATCAGTAAAAGTTTCTATGCCACTGATCCACAACAAAAAACACCAAAGAAAAATTTAGACAGACCACTTCCTCCCCCCACCCCAAATGTTTTGGGTAAAACTCGTTATGACATTAGTGTGGACTTGACAGATGAACCTGGGGGAGGAAGGTATCCGCAAATGCCAGGAAGGAGTCAGTTTTCTAGACCTCAAGGATATCCAGGCTCTCATCCAATGCACAGAACTCCAGCACGTCGTAGACCCTTTGATCAAAATAGACTTCCCCCTCATCAAATGGCTAAAATGCCTCGTCTTTCATCACCACAGCGTCAATCCATGAATTTATCATCATTATCACCACGAAAAATACCAACATCACCATCACAAAGATTAAATGCACCATCAACAATAACATCTCCGTCCATTCCTATTCCTGTTGATCCAGCATCAGTATCAGCAACACCAGCTCATTCTTTACCTGGTGCTGATAAACCAGAATCAGATTCTACTGGTAATATTACTGATACAACAGATAAACCTGATATTAAATTTGAAGTTATTAAAGTAGAAAATGGTAGTGTTGTAGCTAGTAATAAAAATAAAACAGAAGAAGATGATGGTCAACTAAAAATAGAATCTGTTACTAGTCATGATTTATCAATAGATACAGCGTCAACCGGTGAAAAAGACTCAGAAAATACAGCAGATGGTGGTTCTAGTCCAAGTGAAAAACCACCGGATATTCCTAATGAATCTGAACCAAGTGATAAAAATACAGCTGAAAATACCCCAACTGACCGTACAACTCCCTCTGAATCAACTGAAGAATCATCTCCATCAAAAGCACCTCAATCAAACGACCCTGAAGTTATAGAAATAGACTTGACCAAAGTTAAAGATGAAATAGATAGCTTATTTGACTCTGATTCAAGCAGTATGTTTGAAGCTTCTGGTGGTCAAAGGCAGCATTCAGGGAATTTTTCAGGTGTGTTTACTTTATCTGTATAACCAATGTTTAGTTTCAATTTCTTTTTCACCTTTTTTCATGGAATATTGTTTGTCCGATGCAATTTGTTTTGTTTTAGTACTGGTACCAACTACATTTAAAATGGGAATATTTTATTGTTTTATACTTTTGTGTTTCAGGTGCTCAGGGTGGTGATAACAGTCTTTCAAGTTTCGGTGGTGAATCAAATGATGATGATTTTTTCAATAGTTTGCGCGAACAAACTGTTGGTTTATATCCTGTAGGCTTACATGCCAATGAATCTAATCCTGGTGAACAATTTGAACATGGGTCAATTCCAAGCCTTCCTGGTGCTCAGTCTGATGGCGCTTACATGTCAAGTAAGTAATCTTTTATTGTCTGGTATTCATAGCATTTGTGAATTTCTAAATACAGGTACCTTACTTTAAATCGAAGTTACTTCTTGATGCCTCTAAATGTATCATAAATGACTTATTTTATTTTTCAGTGCCTGGCTCAAGCGCCTCCCCCTCTCAAAATCAACAGGTACGTTTAACTTTCATTCTTCACTTTTTCTACATAAAACCATTGGAACTTAAATTCAGTTGTGATCATAGCAACTATATCAGTCATTAGCTCATGCGTATTATTATTTACTAGGTGTAGCAGAACAAGAGTTTGATATGATCTTTTTTTGGAGTCTTAAACTTCTCATTCTTCAACGTATGGGAACAATTCCTGATAAATTATTTCTTATCTAAAACTACTGTATGATGACTTATAAAAATTAATCAAACTCATTTTCTGATATAGTTAGCCATACATTTCGGATTTCTTGTACACCACACCAATACTTTAAAATGTGACTTTGCTGTTTAAATTGATCAAGTTTGAAATTGAAGAAATATTTTACTTCCCTTTCTGTTATAAGGCTCAAAACTAAACATTTAAAATTAACTTTGACACTTGATACAATTATGAATTCAGCAAACAGTCAAATTTTAACAATTTTATAACATAAGCTTATTTGGTCAAAAAAGTTCAGTTTAGAAATATTGGCTTAATTAAATCTACATTTTATTTTTTGAAAAAAATTATCAAAACATATTTTTGCAAATAGTGTATAAGAAATAACAGTGAATTTATGTTTCTGGTGGTATTATGTAATATTTTGACTCACTTTCTTATTGCTAGAAAATTTGTAAAGTCAAATGTTTTGTTCACTGAAATAAATGATCAATCCAGACTTATTAATCTCTTTTGGTACATCCGATGATTATTTGGCACCAGATTGTAATGATTGATATTCCTATCCATTCTTAGTACCTCTCCCTTCAAATACACACCTCAATTTTTATGCCAATAGTATCCAAATTGGATACAGCCAAAGTCTTCAATTTTTCATATCCAGATCAACAGCTTAATCATTAAACAATCATTTAAAGATTAGTTGGAAAAGATAATTCAGAAATTTAGAGTAGTTTTCATAAGAAATCTTTAAATAATTTCTATTATTGAATAAAAAAAGTCTTTTTGTACATAAATTTTCACCTAGGCAAAAATCTGCTGAAAGCTTGTTGAAGACTTTAGGCTTGACAAGATAATCCAGAAACAAATGCCCTTGTCAACTCTTAATTTTTTTTTAAAGTTATTTAAAAGTAATGTATGCCATTGGAAAAGGTTGTTTCTCCAAAGATCATAACAAAATATTCCCTTTTAAAATCAAACTGAATTGCTTTGTTTTGTATAAAGAAAATTAGAGTTGACATAAACAGGTAAGTAAGGAAACTAAAGTATAACTAAAGGTTGCAATCCACCAATACCGTTCCAAGTTGGTTTGATAAGATTAAAGGCAGTTGTTAGGTGACAATGTTGGACCTATGCTTCAGTTGGTAAAATAAATAGGACAATTTCTGGCTATCGTAACTGATTGATTTTGGTACCTTGATTGACAAAGGTATATTTTACTTCAAGTGGGAAATCAATCTTGGTTTTGAAGTCATCCAGATATGTTTGAGTCTTATGACAATTAGCAAAGCACATATCCATCATTGTTGTTAAGGTATCTTAAGATGATCTTTGTGAGAATATGGTTATGAGCTCTGAGCCCTTGTTGTACTTTAGTTTCCTCCCTTTGATCTCCCACAATCAATATTCTGGATCGTCTTTAATGTCCTGACATAATCTGATGATTTGAGATATATAGCCAAACAGGAAATAGATTTTGTATAATACATTTATTCATTATGAACTCAACATTCAAATCTTGGAACACAGAAGTAATCTGACAAAATTGAATTCATTTAGGTTTTTATCTGAATCTGAAAGTTCATTTTGAAATGTGCCTCAAATCATCAGATCTGGTAGATAGAGCAATTGAATTTATTCAGTTGTGAAATCAGCTTTGTCAAAGCCCTTAACAAAATACATACAGTCCTATGCCATCTTATATTTTTGGAAGTTTTGAACAAAAAGAAAAACTTAAAACATGCAGGCTACAAAATCTAGAAAAAAATTTCTGAAAATACCTGCCCATTCTTTATATATGTGACTCTACCAAGTGGTATTAATCAATTAGAAAAATTTTCTGTCTACATACCGGTACATGTAAAAAAATAATAAAGCTTAAGAAATTTGTTAATTTTGAACTCATTCACTTAAAGTTTTTTTTGATCATTATAATGAAATTGACCAGATTCACTCCCTTGGTAGAATATACATGTTCAAGAATTTATGTAATTCTGTTACATTTTATTGTCCACTTGTCAAGTGAGACATTTCCTTCAACATTGTCCTGATTTCAGCTATAGGAATTATCTCATTACAATCTGGTGTAATAAGAAAGTGAGTCTGCATCAGGAGTACAAAAATGATGCCAAGTCATATTCATAACTTTTCTGATGGATACATTGCCTTCTTTTTGTACTGCTCATGCTTTTTTGTGAATTTGTATTCTGAAAAGGAATTGTTTCATGTAATTTGATTTCTAGAATGAAAATGAATATGTACATTCTTGCTGTGACAGATTATTATTGTTATAAGTCAAATTATTTGAAAGAATTCAGATTCAGATTGTGGTTTCAGATGAAATATTTTGAGAATAAAATATATACTTCAAAGACCACATTAATGGAAAGAGACTCGTGATATTTCCAGTAACTTATTTATATCTCTTTGTTATCTGTTCTTTTTTTTATCAAAATTAAACAAGTGATGTGTAAAGAAGATTCTGGGAATATCAGTAGTTTCTGTATTGACAACATTTTGAGAGAACGTCTTAACGAGAAGGTTTTCCCTCATATGGATGGGGCTTCTCTTATGATTGGGCTTCTCTTATCGTTAGGAAGTATCTTAAAATAGGTGTCTAAAAATAGTCCCTGTGTTTACTGCAATACATATTTTAGATTATTGACTGAAATTGACCCAAGATAAACAAGATCTTTTACATTTTGTCCCGACTTCATTGATACCAGTACCTAAATCAGTTGATGTCGAGTTTGCTATCATTTGAATGAATTAAACATTTAATTGGTAGACTGTTACCCTAGTTTGTAGAGAATTTGTTGTATAATTAATTGTTAGCAATTAAATCATTAACTTGCATCACACCATCGTCTGGGAAGATGATCTTTTGAATATAAGTATCTAGATATAACTATTAACTAGATAGAGCCATGAATTTATAAATAAACATAATTGAATAAAATCTGTATGATACGACAAACAATCTCAGTGTATTTTTTAAGGCAGCAAATGTTTACTATGTCATGAGCTTTAGATGCTGAATCTCATTGTTAAATACATATTGCTGTTTGCTCTAGTTACTTTCTTTATTAACAGTTTCTATAAAGCTCAATCTACCTAGAATAATATTGAAAGATGCCTCATGTATTCTTGTGCAAGACTCTTTTCTTCCATCATGTTTCCAATGATTTGTCATGTAATAGTTATATTACAACCTAAATATAGTCCATAGCTTCTTTTGTAGTCCCCAACCACAAGCCTCTTACATTTCCATTATTAGAATTTATCATTCATGTGACATTCTGGACATATTACCAGTTGATATGAACACTTAAACATATTGGAGTATTGCAGAGTTTTTTTTTTAAAACTGTTTGCATTTCTCCCATGTTTTAGATGTATTAAAACAAAAAAGTTTGCGCTTTTTCTGTAGCACTTGATTATTCCTAAGTCTGTCTTTTCTTTGAGTAATTTAATTCGAAGGTAAATAGTATTTATGAAAATTCTCTTACCAAGGCTTTGTGTCCAATAGATGCTTATGCATAAGCACTTAATATGTCATAAGTTACTCTTAAGGCCCTGTATGGATAACGCTTATTTCTAAATTCTTATGATGGTAGAAATTTCTTGTGTTGGATCAGGAGAGGCGTGTTGACTTGGTGAATCAGGCACTTGTTCTCTAACCTAATTGTCCAGGGTTCAATTCCAGCATGGGTGGAGAAAACACTGGTTTCCCCCTGTCAGTGATGCAGGTCATTGAAAACACCCCCAAAAAGCTAATGCCTACTGTCCTGGCATAAGCAAGTGCAGATAAGTAGGACTCCAAATTGATTTCCTATGTGTTTGAACAGTGATTTAGACTTATTTTGTCTTCATGTTTGTTAATTGTTAAAAGAAATACCATAAAATATGTTTATCAAATGTTAAGCTCCTGTATTACTTGATGAGTTGGGCATACCTATTGTTTACAAACTTACTTTTCATGATTCAGATAAATTTGACCTGTGATAAACATGGAATTAATCCAAGTCTGACTGGAATAGGCTAAATAGTGACATGATTACATTTTTTTGTTCTTATTAGCAAACGTTGGGACAATATTGTAGAGGTTCAAAGGTGCCACAATGTAAATACAAAGAAGAACTTAAAGAGGACACGTATTTCATAAAGGTTTCACATTGCATGTGTAGAAACATAACTAAATTTGAGACGAAAGCTGAATTTCTATTTCTTTGTTTATAGGTTGTAAAAGCTATCAATTTAAATCGGCATTGTAAATGGTGTGGTAAATATTTTTTGAGAAAATCGCAGTTGGAGCGACATGTTAGAGGTCTTCACCTTAAACAGAGAGTTGATTGTCCTTGCTGTACCAAATCTTATTCACAAATAGATAATCTTAAAGAACATATTAAAAAGTTTCATTCTAGTGACATTGAAAATTGGAAACGTAACCAAATATACAAAAAATACTGGAATTAAGTCTTGACGTCATATTGTACTTGTAAATTTCCTCTAAGAAAAACTGACAGATTTTCCATTTATATTTTGTAGGAATCTCCTAGTTTTTATCGATATCAGTGTATTTGGTGTATGGAGAATTTTGAAGCTCCTTCTCAATTAACTCAACATGAAAAGGACAAACATAGCAACTATTTCAATTCAGAAAACATGTCCTATATTTGTCATATTTGTAATCATATATATGCATCGCGGGGGCATTTTAAAGAACATGTCATGACCAAACATAGAAATTATAGAGCACAGTGTCCGTTCTGTGACCGTTCTTATTCTCGAAAACGGGATTTAATTAGACATATAAGAAGAATGCATACTGATAAAACTTGTTAGTTCTGTGATAGCATCCCAATACAGGATTATACCTTACTAAGGCGAAATAAACAATGGACCTGAGATGAAAAGGACACTACACTTGTTATATATGTGAACATTTATTTACACTAGGACGGCATTTTAAAGAATATATCTGATTAAACATCTGTTCTGTGACGGTTCTTATTCACAGAAAGATGAATTAATTATGTATAATTAAAAAATGGAAATAGTCATACTACTGATAATAACAAGTGCTCATGATATCAAATTATCACATTTCGTCTTATTATTGATCAGTTTAACAGTTGTGCTTCCACCTTACCACACTTTTCAAATACAACTTCTGCTCAAATTGGTTAGTGGAGTCTAAATTAGAACTTATTATATTATAGGATGTGGAAAGAATATTGGTTGAAACTGAAAAACTATGGAGTAAAACCAAGTCTATTGGCAAAGTTATCTGCCCTATATGTGGACAAATTTGTTCCAGAAAAGGAAACTTAAAAGAACACATTCAGATAGTTCATCTCAAATACCGTGTTCAGTGTCAAATGTGTGAACGTTCATATACTCGCAAAGTTGATTTAATGAAACACATTAGGAAAACTCATAGATTATTTGATGGTCAATCAACAAGTTAATTGAAAATATATCAATGCTTTTGTAAGGAATAAAATTGAAAATGCAGTTAAGCAGAAAGTGTAGCTCTTTGTTTCAAATAAAAAAGTGATTCAAACTTCTTATTTCATTATAGGATGTTGAAAGAATTCTTGACGATATTGAAGCAGCAGGGCTATGGAATTCTACAAAGTCAAGTGGCAAGGTTACCTGTCCAATATGTGGGCAAATCTGTTCAAAAAAGGGAAACTTGAAGGAACACATTCAAATTGTTCACCTGAAATATAGAGCCAATTGTCATTTGTGTCCAAAATCTTATACACGAAAAAACCAGTTGCGACATCATTTAATAAAAGATCATAATCTGGCCATTAAATTTAAAAACTGAAAAATTGTTATAACTTGATTATTATCATGTAATACATGAAAAGATGTTTGTAATGAAAGTTTGAAAGGCTAAACATACCTTATTCTATTTGAAGGAATAGTTTGATAACTACTTGAATTGTTATTTTGTAGGTTCCAAGTCAATTCTCATGCAGTATTTGTGGCAAATTGTTTTCAACCAAAGGCAATATGGTGCAACATATTAAAGGAGTTCACTTAAATTCTCTGTCTGTATCTTGCCAAATGTGTGGTAAACTTTTCACGCGTAAATCTAATTTAAGGGAACATATGCGAAGTGTTCATAAAGTTGATAAATGTAAAATCAAGTTGTGTAAGACTAATTTCTGAAGCTATTAATCTTAGTCTGTAATGTTAAAGGTAGCACGTTCTCATTTTTTGTATTGAAATTTTTACTTGTTCAGTGTAATATGTTACAAAGATTAAAGTATTTTATGGTTTTTTATCGCCTTTTCAAATTGAATCAACACCCAATTACATGAAAACTGCTGTCCACACTTGCTTCATATTGCTCCTTAAAAAGTAATAATTTAATAGAGAACTGTTGTTCAAAAAGGATTAACTTGTGAAATTTCAAGTGTTGGAAATCTTGATCACAATGGGAAAGGTGTTCATCTTAAAGTTTGCTTTCCATGCCCAATTTGTAGTAAAATTCTATAGAAAACTTGCCCTGCGTTTTCATCTTGTTTCCCGTCACTACTCTGAATTGAAATCTGAGCAACATCATGTTTAATAAAATAGTAAGTTTGAATGTATCTTTTTGTTTGTTGTAGGGCTATATGTGTCCTGTTTGTAATAGAGTGTGTACAACAAAATCTAATTATACTAAACATATTAAAGAGATACATATGAAGATTTATGTTACTTGTCCAGTTTGTCAACAGAAGTTCACACGAAAAAATACTCTACGCGATCATATCAGACGAAAACACCCAAATGAGTTGGTTTCTAATTTGTAATTCAACAGTACCACAGACTGAAGATTAACATTTACACTTCTTCCTTGTAGGTAGATGGTAAAAAAGTATATCCATGTCAGGTGTGTGGTAAACAATTTGGAACCTCGTCTAATCGACAGCGTCACATACGGGGAGTGCATCTTCAGTACCGTTGGCAATGTCCATATTGTGAAACTAGTTTTTGTCAAAAAGGGCACTTAAAAAATCATGTCCAAAAAAGCCATTAAGTTGTGTTGTAGGGGCTAAGTAATTGTTTGTGACATTCTGTATTGATTAAGAAAATTAAATGCTTTGATACACACGATCAATTAAGGCCTGTTGCTCTGTTGTATACACAAATTTAAGGAAAAAATGCATGTGAAAGACTGCATTTTTTGGTACCTGAGATATTGTCTATTTAGTAAAAGTTATTTATAAAAACAGAAAGATATTCCGGATCAATTTACATCATTGAACGTGGAGAGAGTCTAAACATGAAAATTTCGTTCATCGGTCACAGTTTTCGCTGAACTGGGTTAGCGTAGCTTCGGTAGGTTGTTTGAACTGTTGTTCAACACAATGGTTAATTAATTACTTTCTGGTCCAGAATGCAGATAATTGATTTTACTATAAACAATTTATGGAAATAAATGCAAGAATTTATGTATCTATTTAGTTTTCGCTGAAATTTTAATTAAGTAGAAAAATCAGCCCTGGCTGACATACGATTATTTCGCTGTTTGTGATGTGAAGTGGTCATGTTAAAAGCTTATTCCAGAAGGAAAATAAAGTTTTATCTTTTTAGAAAATTCCAATTAGTTTTGTCCCTGGAAATTTTTTTCCATTTTCTGGTAATTTTTTTACATTTCGATGGTTACCACCAAAACAATTATGATCAAAAATGAATAAAGAAAACATTATATTCTTTGCATTAAAATTGTCTTGTGATAGGTTAAGTGTGATGAAGATTGATCCACTCATTTTTCTGTCATTCTTATGTTGAAGGTTTGAAAAATCCAATTTTCATGACATGTTTATGGGCTGACATAATATTAAAAAAAATTCTGAAGGGTATAAAATCAAATAGAAACTGAAGGGAAAGACCTTTAAGTCATCATAAAATGCACAATCATTCTTAAATCAGTTTTTCATAGAATTAATCCATATTTTCATAACATGAAATAGACCAGTCAATGCAAGGTAATGATGTACAGTTTGTTTTAATGGGACAGGTGCACCAATCATGCCTAAGTCTCAGGAACATGAATTTTTGGGTTAAGCCAATCAGTAATAGTCTTAACAGCTCACTGTCGGAATTTGAGCATGGAAGCCATGTATGTTCAGAATTATCTGTGTTTGATTGAAAGTTAAGGAGACTAGTCACCATTTTTTAAGACTGCCATATGATAGAAAACATCTATAGAAAAATTCCTTGTTTGATATTTTTGAAGGAAATGTGCAAAGTTAGTACATTTCTAGTACTTCTGAAGACTATTTACATATATTCAAGACCTAAATCAACCCCTAAGAGTGGCACATCTGTCCCTTTAACACTGGTTCACAATCAATGATTTTCTTTACTATGTTGTAGGTTGTTGAACCAGTGTGTTTAGTTTGTGGCAAGGTATTTAGTCATAGAGGAAACCTCAACCGACATGTTAAGGAGGCTCACTTGAACAAGCGCTTTTTTTGTCCATTGTGCAATAGAGCATTTACTCAAAAGTCAGTCCTGAGGTATCATGTAGAACATGTGCATAACTTGGTTCAGTAATTTAATGATTTTACAATTGTGCAAATAATTGTCTGCACCAATAAAATTTATTGGTACTTCTTCTCTTATTCTAGAACATTACTCAGATGGTTGTTGTTTTAATTCATACTTTAAAAATTGGTTGGAAATGATGATAAATTCCTGTTTATATTGTAGGTCAATGTTGGCAAGATTTGTTTAGAAACTACTTGTAATGACTGTGGAAAGGTATTCAGCCACAAAGGCAATTTGAAACGACATATAAGAGAAGCCCATCTTGGTGTGCGTATTGTTTGTCCTGTCTGCCGAAAAAGATTCACTCAAAAAAATTACCTGTGGCAGCATTTGCGTAGGGTTCATAATTTAGATGTCCAAAACATGAAATAGGCATTTCAATTAATATAACAGTATTTTACTTTTAGTACTAAAGGCAAAAATTAGTTATGATTTATACAGTTTGTAGATTTGGTAGTCAAATGTGTCATAGTAATAAATAATAATTTTATTTTTAAAGTTCATATTGAGATTAGTGTGAGGAATTAACAAAACATAAGCTCATATTCCATATGTTATCAATGTATACATGTAAGAAGTAAAATATAGAAATAAGTTTGCTTTGACTGCCTATTGAAATTCATCTAAGTAAATCTAAACTTATGTTTATCTACTTTAAAGATTAAAGTGGCTATCAACAGTGTATGCTTATTTATATTTTAGGTAAAATTTCCTGGTAGTAAGACATGTTCCTGGTGTGCAAAAACATTCAGTAATATGGGTAATTTGAATCGCCATGTAAAAGAGGATCATCTCAAAAAAATATACTCTTGTCCTGTTTGTTGTAAATCAATTAAACAAAAGTCATATCTGAAATTACATTTACTTAAAGTTCACAATATCATGTTTGATAACACCTAAACTCTGCTATGGTCTTCTGCTTTTTCGACTTCGTGTATGGAACCTTTTCCTTTTTCAGAGTATCCTAATTTATATTTTAGGGAAAAAAGTCCTGTTCCTGGTGTGCAAAAACATTCAGCAATGTCGGTAATTTAAATCGCCATGTAAAAGAGGAACATCTCAATAAGATATACTTTTGTCCTATTTGTAGGAAGTCAATGAAACAAAAATCAAATTTGAAAAGGCATTTAGTAACTGTGCATAAATCTGGACTGTCTTAATACTGAATTCACATATGACATTTTCATTATTTATCTGTTTCCATATTTTGTTTCTATTATGTGATTTAAAGTTTGGATGGAGATAATGTTAATAAAAAAGTACTTGGTATTGATATTGTGTATGTATTCTCTGCCCATTAAAATATCAGTAAGAAAATGGTCTTACTACCTTCGTTTAATGCTGTCTTTTTGAGAACAGCCATTTGTGTTTTGTGGCATGCTAGAGTTACATTCACATCTTGTTTAGTTCTCTAAAATGCAAGGTGAATGTTTCTCGATCATAGAGGAAAATCGTCTTCCAGAATCCTTGCCTGATTATCAGTAAAAGACTCAAACAGTAGACAATCAAAGATATTACTTCTGATTATGTGAAGTTGTGCTCTAAGAGGTGCACTTAAGCTTGTTGATGCAGCTCATATTCAGCTATAAGTAATGCATTTCAAATCAGACCTACCAACAATCATACTCAAGGACATGATACTTTACCATTCATGATCTTATATCTGCTTGGATCAATTGAGACTACTGAAACTTCTGGTGATGTATTTGTGCTATCTTTTTATGGTTAGAATTATTTTTACAAACACATAGTACAAATAACATAATGGCAATTGCAAATATTTCAGTGTTAAATTCACAGTGTTAAACTTGTACAAATTGAAATCAAAGGATTTGGGATTTCACCTGTAAATTTATAGGATTGTATTCAATGTGTTCTACAAAATAATGTCCTCAATACTATATATCCATGAAAACCTGAAAAGAGAACATTACTAGAAGAAAAAATCTATGTTGTAACAAGATTTTATTTGTTTTTTGTAGGTAAATGTCCAATCAGATTGTACCTGTATGACATGTGGAAAGACATTTTGCCACATGGGAAATTTGAAGCGTCATGTCCGTCAAACACATCTTAATGAAAGACAATATTGCCCCGTTTGTTATAAAGCATTCAGTCGTAAACCTGCTTTACGGGCTCATTTTATTCTAAAACATAGCAATGGATAAATTAAGGCAATGATTCTGTTTCATTTATTTTGTAGGGTGAAAAATTGAAGTGTTCTTGGTGTGGTAAAGTGTTTACTCAATCTGGAAATTTAAAGAGACATATTGAGGCAAAACACCTTTATATTAGAACACAGTGTCCGTTTTGTGAGCGATCTTTTACACAGAAAGGGAATATGAAGGATCATGTTAGAATGTTTCATCAAGATAAACTTCTTTGTTATAAAAATAGTTGACATACAAAAATTAATTTATATTCTATACTGTTAATGAGCTTTATCAGCTGTTAAATACATGTATATGGTGACTGTGTCTGACAATGAGAAATCAAAAAGGAAATAGCTAATGCCTACTTTGACGTTTTGTTTTTATTCTGATAATAGTTGTCAGTGAAGAAGTATTTTTCATTAGTTATTATATTTTGAAAGTTTACTATTTAATATCTTGTTTGTGAAAAACATTTTTTTTAACAGTGTGATCTTCTGTGTTTTAGGTGTTTGTTGAACTGGAAAAGGGAGGACCGTTTAAGTGCTTAATGTGTGGGAAAATATTCAATTTCAAAGGAAATTTGAACAAACATATCCGAGGTGTTCATGGTAAAATGAAAGTAGAATGTCCAGTCTGTGGCAAAAAATTTTCTCAGCGAGGGAATGCTAAGACTCATCTTCAGAAAATTCACAAAATATATTCAGATACAGCTGAATAGGTAGAGATGTTATCCTAGTGTCAAGTCTGAAATATTTTTTTTTACTTTATTTTAGGTTCCTCAAGATAACAATAATGTCTGTTATGTTTGTCTTAAAGTTTTTTCAACTTCTGGAAATTTAAAACGACATATTCGAGAATCTCATCAGAATCAGCGTTTTCACTGTCCATTATGTCATCGACCATTCACTCAAAAATCACGTCTGAAAACACATCTTTTATCAATTCATAGTAATTTGAACAAAATATAGTCAAAACAGTGTTCGACAAGAATGTTAGAACACATTACAAAAATATTTGATAAGACGAGATGCAAGTCAACCTAGGATTTGAAGCATATTGTCATCTTAAATTACATTTGTTTCTGCTATTCTTTGTTTAAATGACATCATCATTCATGTATTAGAGTACATTTGGGTCTGCAAAACATTAAAACTTGCAGTCCACTTTTTTTTTGGTTAGTTTTTGTGGTTTCAAAAATAAAGTCAATGTTGAGAAATGTCCCTTTTTAAAAAAAAATAGTGTAACAATTTCTGTTTAGAATTGTTCATTTAGCTAATTCAAGTATTTTGTATGTTGTAGGTTTTCAGTAGTCAGAAAAGTGTGGGGAATTTTACATGTTTAGTTTGTGGAAAACATTTTAATTTCAAAGGAAATCTTAAAATACATATTGAAGGGAAACATTTAAAAATGAGGTTCAACTGTCCTGTTTGTAGCAAGAGTTTCTCTCAAAAAGGAAACATGAAAATGCATTTAAAGAAATGTCATTGAAATATAAAACAGGAATATTATTGTTGTCCTCCTAAATACTTCATTCAACTCTTTGAAATTCCAGTTTGAATGGACTCAATTTTAGTGTCATAGCACTTTATTTTGAGTAAAGATAATCTTCAGATTGTTTTACATTGTACATCTGTTGTCAACACTTTCAAGATTTTTTCTACATAGCATTTAAAAGTTTATTTAAGTGTTCAATGATCATAATTTTATTAAATAGTTTACTTCAATAGTTAACTTAAATATTTTTGTATTGCTAATGGCTACTTTTTGTCGGAGATTCTGATTAAATAGGGTTTGCTTTTGAAACATACATATCTGATTAACCACGACTTGATTGTATTACAAAATTTCTAAATTATTTCTAAATATTTTTGGTTTGAAATTTAATAAATAAATTTTGTTTGTTGTAGGTGACTGCTACAAGTTATAAACCATTTTCCTGTAAAGTCTGTGGAAAACAATTTAATTATAAAGGCAATCTTAAGAAACATTTTCAAGGGACTCATATGAAGATGAGATTTAGTTGTCCAATATGTGGGAAGTCATTTAGTCAGAAGGGAAAAGTTAAAATACATTTCAATAGTGTTCATATATGAATAGAGTATCTTTCAACATTGATACAAAATATAATTTGAAAATATTGGTAACTGAAATTATACATTTAATTATGTCAAATATATTAACTTCAAGCTATCTGAAAAAGTTTTTTGATTTTATATTGTAGGCCAAGAATCCTAGTCTTTGTAAATGGTGTGGCAAATATTTCTATAACAAGAGCACTCTCCGTCGACATATACAACATATCCATTTAAAAATAAGACATGCATGTTTATATTGTAACAAGACATTTGTTCAGAAACATTTATTAAACACCCATTTATTAAGAGTACATGGTCAGAAATAATTGACTTCCATTTCTTCTCAACTCTTTATTTTTATATTGTAGGGAATGGCTGATAATCTTTGTAAATGGTGTGGCAAATATTTCTATAACAAGAGCACCCTTAATCGTCATGTTCAAAATATTCATTACAAAACTAGAGCTCCCTGTCCTTACTGTGAAAAATCTTTTGTTCAAAAAACTTACTTGAATTATCATATTCGTAAAGTTCACATTCAAGGTTTTAATGTACAGCCAGAATGAAGAAGCTAGAGTAAATTACATGATAGGGATCTACTTATTGTCAAATTTTGTGAAAACGTTTAATTGAAATCTATAACCTTACTTTGTTTCTGATATATTTTGAAACTCCAATTATTTCCAACTCTGGTATTTTGTTTGCAACAATTTTGTATAATAATTAGTAGTTAAATTTGAAATATCTTGGTGAAAGTGTAATAAGATCAAGATTATGCATTTTCAAAATAAGTCAGTATATTATATCGAAGCCAGATATAAATTTATTGTGTTCAACCTTAGGTCTGTTAAAAAAAAAAAAAAGAAAAAAAAAAAGTCTTTACAGCATATCTAGTATGTTGTCTATTGTTTGATTTAAGTTTGTATAAACTGTATTATAAACATATATAGTACCAAATAATGACTTGACGAGTTTTTATAATAAAGATATAAAGTTAATAACAGTGTTTGTTTCATTGTAGATGTTTAGTAGTGGTAACTTTAGTTTCCCATGTCAATGGTGTGGTAAAATATTTAACGATAGAAGTAATTATAAACGTCACATTAACAATATACACCTCAATATGAAATTCACTTGTCATTTATGTCTAAAACAATTCACACAAAAATATAATCTAAAAACTCACATTAAAGTTGTACATAGACTTGTATAAAATATATTAAAAGAGTTTGTCAAGTATATACACATGTTTTTCCATTCTGTAGAATAGTAATCAATATTGTATGGGGATTGCTATTTATCATTTCTGCCTGTATTTTGTAGGACCAATATGGCCGAAGAGTTCATAACTGTTCTTGGTGTGGAAAATTATTCAATGATAGCAGTAATTTAAGACGACATGTTGAAGGAATACATTTAAAAATCAAGATACCTTGTCCTGTTTGTCATTTTAATTTTACAAGAAAATCTAGCATGATTCTACATTTGAAAAAAACACATACTCAACATTTCTAGCTGCCTTGTTTACACAAATTTTGCATCCAAACATTTTATTTGTATTTGTAACGAGAATAAAACAAACTTGCATATAAATGCATTAAAACAAAGCTTAGGTAATAACTTTAGATGAATTGATTTAAAATTGTTCTTTATAGAATCAAAATAACTTATTTTTTTTATAATGACCAGTAGCATAAAACTAAAGTACACATTAATAGATGTTCTTTATGAGCTATATGTAGAATTTTATTTTTCACACCTTGTTCAAAAACAGCCGTTATCTAACAATATGACTATCAATCTGTGACTGATTCAAACTTGATTGGTACAGTTCTCCTGATTTTGGCTCTCCCCTTGTATGACCATCCTATTAAATTTAGGTCTGTATTTTGTAGGTCGGAAATGGCCGGAGATGTTACGCTTGTCCTTGGTGTGGTAAACTATTTAATGATAGGAGCAATCAAAGACGACATATACAAAGTCTTCATTATAAAGTCAAGATTTATTGCCCACTGTGTCATAAGGATTTTACCCAAAGGTCCAGTATGCTGTGTCATGCCAAAAGTATTCATAAAACTAAACTGATTTGAATTATCAGTGTCTGAACTTGTTCTTGAAGTGTTAATTAAAGACTGTTTCATACAAAGAATTTGTGAAACGAATTTTCCCCATGAGAAAAGGTTTTTCAATACAGCTTATTTTCTGAAGTACCAGATTTTGCTGATGAATTATTTGAAGTTTCAAAACTATTTTGTACTTATTTCTCTGCAAAGCAGGTACATGTACTTAGTTCCTGTCATACGAATCCTTAGTTATTCATATAAGGTCAAGGCCACATTCATCCAAAAATGACTTAACAAAAATGGACAAAGATATTAACATTTGTTTTTTCTCAAACTTGTCATTAGGTTAAAGGTTTTACTAAGATGACTATTATCAGTAGGTGGACTAATTTCTTATTTTTTTGACTTATTTTAGGAATATTTTGGGAAAAGAAGTATTGACTGTAGTATTTGTGGTAAAATGTTCAGTGACAGAAGTAATTTGAGAAGACACATTAAAAATAAACATCTTGACATCAAGAGCATCTGTCCAGTTTGTAATAGAGAATTTTCACAGCAGACAAATATGAGAACACATGTTCGAAAATGTCATCCAGATTTTGTATACATTTTCACGCATGATTAATTGTCTGATAATAATTTTATGAATAAAAAATTTTAAATAGAATGTGAGGGAGACCCAATGAAAAAAATTAAATCTTAAATATTTTTGTTTTAGGTGCAAGGCCCATATAAAAGACCTTTTCATATTTGCCGATGGTGTGGAAAATCGTTTGAGTCATCAACATTGAGAAGACACATACGAAACAAACATCTGAATATACGCCATAACTGTCCTATTTGTCAAAAAGTCTTTACACAAGAAAATAACATGAAAACACATATCAAAACTCTACACAAGGATATACTGAACACATTTGTGCCCCAATAGTAGACAACTATGTGTTTCAAATGATTTTTTTTTTCATTAGAAAAGAAAAGAAAGAAGAAAAGGCCTTCATTGCAGGTGTACAGTGTACAACACTTTGAAGAAAGCACTTATTCTTTCTGGGGACTACTGACTTTGGGCTTCGTCACTTCGATTATCAATGAATTGTTTCATATCTGCCTTCTTGATTTTGTAGGCTTTTGAACCTAGAGTTATGTATAGACACATCAGTTTACTCTGTGCAATTTGTGCAAACATTAAGATAGACACAAAATAAACACATATAATCTAGATTCAAGTTGTAACAAAATTGGCTGAAGTCATTTGTTAGGGAAGGTTATTGCATCAAATTTAGTTTGAAATGATATGCGCTGAAACATAAATGATAATCAAGTCAAGAAAATAAGTAAGATAATAGGCATCCTTCAATTTCTAACGCAAGAGTGATATTTTATTTTTTTCTATGTTGTAGGCATCATTTGGGAGCAGTGTAGTTGAGTGTACATGGTGTGGTAAACCATTTAAGGACAGGAGTAATTTAAGGAAACATGTTCAAAGCAGACATTTAAATGTTCGATTTGACTGCCCAATATGCCACAGAAAATTCACTCTAAAACAAAACTTGAAAGTGCATATTAAAACGATTCATAGTTTCATTGAATAAAAATGTCTAAAAAAAATTATTATGAATATCTGATTTTCTAAATTGTTTTTTATTATCTTGTAGGCTTTCTCCTGCTGTATTTGTCAAAAATTGTTCCACCATAAAGGAAACTTGAAGAAACACATACAGGGTTTGCATATGAATGTTCGTTTTAAGTGTTCTTTCTGTGACAAGAGTTTTACAGAAAAAGGAAACTTGTCGAAGCATATTCAAAAATATCACAAAGAAAGACAATTTTAACTCAAACTACAATTTCTTGATTTCAAGGTTTCTTTATTTTAATTTTTTCCAATTTAGCAATCTGTTTTAACTTGTTCAATTTTGAAAGTTTAGTCGTAGTCTGTTTTCTCCACTGTTCATTCATTCACAATTGCTCGGTGCTAAGAGTTTCATTGGATTATGATATCTGAGATGAATTTGACTTCATGATTTTAATGTGATTAGTTTGCAGTTTACTTTGTCAAAAAACTCTAATTCAATACCAGACCACTGTTTTGTTAAGATTTTGTAATAATTACTGTTCATGCATATTAGGGATTTTCTTGCAAAAATGAGTTTTGTTTTTATTTCCAATGGCAGGAAAATGCCAAACAGCAATATTCCAAAATTCGAAGTTTTTAGATTATAACAAGTTAAATTTTTGAATGTATGTAAATAAATGATTTTTAGTATCAAGACAAATGTTAGTTTTTGTGGCAATCATTATATTATTAGGATGTAAATGTTGCTGTAAATAAACAATATGCATGATGAAAATAAAACATGAAAAATAACAAAACTTCCCTTTTATTTGTTGTAGGAGGCAAGATGGGTGAAATCTACTGGCTATCCCTGTAATATCTGTGGAAAAGTTTTTACCATGAAATACAATCTGAATACACATATAAAAGGAAAACATTTCAATATACGACACAAATGTCCTATCTGTCAGAAAGAATTCACATTTCAGAGCAACATGTTGACTCACTTGAAAAATGTACATTAAAATACCTGTAAATCATACATGAATCAGTATTTGGTGTTGTCAAAAATAGAATGTACATCATGCAGTAAACTTATATGTAATAATATAAGAACACTACTTATTAATATTTTCATATGCTGTAATTTCTCAGTAAATCACTGCTGAATGTTTGAATGTTACAATGTGGTAGTAAATAAAGAAGACAAATCTACTATTATAGGTTACATTATATAATCGTTCGAGGAATAAGCAAAGCTGTATAGTACATCTAGTACATTGATATGGTCAACTAATGCCAAACTTTCTAATAGTATTGCTGACAGCTCTATGTTAGATCAAAAGAATGAATTAAATCGTTATGAGAATTCAATTTGACCCCATTAAATTCAATGGTATTGATTTGCCTGTGTTAATTTTTACAGATATGTTTTCTAGTTCTTAACAAAGCTGCATGTGAACATGTGCAAAGATAATCTTTCTCTAATCTGTCAATCAGGAAAAGAAACCTATCCTGAAATACAAGACATGTAACTGAGGAAACAAGACTTTCCTCAATTTGAGACAGCCATATGTAGTCAAATTAACTTGGACTTAAAAATCTGATGTTTTCTTTATAATATGCATATAAACACTAACTTAGTCATTTTCAAGTAAACTAATCAAGAAAATTTTGTCTCATTTTAGGCCTTGTATGATAGACATATCAATGGTTTGACCTGTAAATTATGTGGTCAGGTGTTCACACAGAAATCCAATCTGAACACACATATCAGAGGAAAACATCTAAAAATAAAAAATCAGTGTCCAGTTTGTTATAAGGAGTTTTCTTTTCAGAGTAATCTTGCTCGACATATAAAACAAAATCATTTCAACCAATAAGATCACTAATATTAATTTATCTCCTTTGTTTCATTGTTTCAAATAGCCATGTCATTAGTTTCTAATCCAGTAAAATTTTATCTAATTTTAGGCTCTTTATGATATCCATGGTTACAGTTGTACAATATGTGGAAAAGTGTTCACAGAGAAATTTAATCTTCGAACTCATATAAAAGGAAAACATCTTAAGATTACAAATAGGTGTCACATTTGTTTAAAAGAATTTAGTTTCCCTGGTAATCTTGCTCGTCACATGAAACAATGCCATTCCAACATCATTTACTGAACTTTCATGCTAATTCCAAATTTTGTCTCATTTTAGGCGAAAAAAGATGTCCATACCTGTAATTTATGTGGAAAAGTGTTTACTCGCAGATTTAACCTTCAAACTCATATTAAAGGGAAACATCTTAAGATTAAAAATCAATGCCCAATTTGTCATATGGAGTTGGCCTTTCCTAGTAACCTTACTCGCCATTTAAGACATAGTCATCCTCACATGTAATCAGGTTAAAATTTAACACTTGTTTATACAGTATAAAGGCTGAAATGTTCTCTTTAGGAAGTAGTTTGAATAAGAAAGTAAGCAAATAAAATTGAAATCAGTTTTTTAAGATGTAGTTTACTTTATACAGTTATATTGAATATAAAATTCAAACCGAAAATCTGTATCAAATCATAACAGTAATATTATATTACACACTTACACCTGATATTATCTCATTTTAGGCGAATGAACAAGCTGGCCACTCCTGCAGTATCTGTGGTAAAGTGTTCACTCGGAAATCAAACTTAAAATGCCATATTAAAGGAAAACATCTACGTATCAAACAACAGTGTCCTATTTGTTTTAAAAAATTTGCTTATGATAGAAGTTTGCGTTTTCATATGAAACATGCATGTCGGCACTGAAAGTTATTTTTCACTTTGTGAAATCAAATTGTCCTCATGTGTAAATTATTATCAAAACAAAGTCATTCTTAAACTTGTACTCCTATTTGAAGAAGAGAATTTACATAAGAGTAATTGTTTTATTCAATTTACCAATTATATTACAAAGACAGGAGGTAGTCATAAGATCTTAAGAATCTATCTATAAAATAATATGCCATCTTATTTCATTCTAGGGGTTCGATAACAATGGATATGTCTGCCAATTCTGTCAAAAAGTGTTTACACAGAAAAGTAATCTACAAACGCATATTAAAGGAAAACATCTTAAAATCAAACACAAATGTCCTGCTTGTAATAAAGAATTTGCATTTCAAAGTAGTTTAAATCACCATATTAAACTAGTTCATTTTAAATAAGAGTAGAAAATAGTACCTAGCACTTGTGACTATCGGCTATAACTTCATGAAATTCTGATACTAGAAAAAAGCTTGAGTTGGTTGTTCCTATTTAGGTAGTTTGATTAAGATCTCAGCCAGTCCCCAAAAATCTAACTGTTCATAGATACCTAAGGCACTGGTTGTTTCTTTGTTTGATTGATTGAGCATGATCGTTTATTTAAAGATATATACCCTCTCTCATAATTATCTAACATGAAGGTACATGTTACAATATGTATCTTAGATACAGTATGTTTATTGGTATGTATCATTGTCATATATTGTCATAACTTGTATTTTCAATTTAACGAAACATTTCACTTTCTTTCATTGTAGGAAATGAGTGTTAATAGTTTTAGTGAAGTTTCTAGTCGTGGGTTTGTTTGTAAACTATGTCAAAAGGTTTTCAGCCAGAAATCCAATTTGAATACTCATATTAAAGGCAAACATTTAAAAATCAAATACCCTTGTCCAATTTGTTGTAAAGAGTTCACATTTCAAAGTAATATGACAAATCATTTGAAACAGTGTAGAGTGAACTATGTAAATTATTAGCCAAGTTAAAAAACTTTGTAATTTGTATAGTTGAACAACTATAATTTTGCACTTAGGGATTCAATGCAAAACATACAAATGACCAGTCAACTTTAATTGTTGGTACAGAATAAATAGTTATTGAACTGTACAACATAGTTCTTTCCATTACTACCACCATTTAAAGTGGATTACTCGTGTTTATGTTTTGAATTGTGAATTTTCAAATATATCTTTGCTGAACTATACTTATGAATACATAACACTTACTTTATTGTTGTATACATAGCATCAACATCATGGACATTATGTACATTTCAGAACCTGTTATTTAAGAATTTGACTTTATCTCAAAATAGTAGGATTTTAGATAATTAATAATTACTTTCTTCAGGTATTTGTAGTCAGACACTGTCTATTTGTCTTTTTTTTCCTTTTTTTCTCCTTTTTTTGTAAATCAGAACTGTATTTTCCTCAGTTTGTGTAAGATGTTAGTTTCTTTGAAAATAAAAGATAATAAGAATTAATCTTATAACATAAGAGATTTATCTGTATCACACCTTTACTAATACATAGATATATCTTTGATCATTGCCATTACCTTTTATTAAACCTGTATTAACTTGTGGCAGCTGTTACTTTATTACAATAATAAAACTAACATGATCACAAACCTGTCTGTGAAATGGCATTGTGACATTTATCTGCACAATGTCAAGCTACCTTGACTGCTATAGCGACCTTTCTTGCATCAAGGAATGTAGCACTTTGGCCGTTTTTGCTGAGCCTGTAAATGTGCTCTTTTTCTGTACAATCCAATGAAATTGGTACATTGACAAACTTCCATGATACAAGACTATTACAGTCAAGGTATTAGTACGAGGTTCGTGATAGTTTGACATTGTGAAGTTGTGTGACATTAGACTGAGGGAATATACTATTATACCATGATTGAATGGTTATGAACATGTTTCAAAAACGCTTACCATTTTGTTACTTTTGTTTTCTTTATATTTGTAGGGTCATGGTAATTTTGTCGGTTTCCCATGTACCATTTGTGGTTACGTATTTACCCAGAAAGGAAATTTAACTAAACATATGCAGGGCAAACATTTAAATGTTCGATTTTCTTGCCCAATATGTATGAAACAATTCACAGAAAAGGGCAATATGAAAAAACATGTCAAGTACTCTCATAAATTGAACTTGTCTTGATTTATCTTTTCTAAACAAGCATGGATGATTGCTCACATTCCAGTTAAGTAGTAATGTGATATTTTATATTAAGATGAAAATATTTGTACTCAAAAATAGTTTCATGAATTAAATTTGATAGTTATCAACCATTTTGATCTAACCTGAAAAATAAATTTTTCAAAAAAAATAAGCTGTTAACCAAGTCATATTGAGGAAAAGACTTGACATTCCTTCTGTAATGAAAAGTTTTCATTCTTGTCATTATAGGGTCTAGGCCAGGTTAGAGATGGTGGTTTCCCTTGTAAGATCTGTGGACATGTATTCAGTCAAAAAGGCAATCTGAAGAAACATGTTGAAGGCAAACATTTAAAAGTAAAACATTTCTGTCCTATTTGTAATAGGTCATTCACTGAAAAGGGCTCTATGAAGAAACATATTAAACATATCCATCCCAACATAATGATGCAAGAATACAAATCTTGAAATATGGCATGACCTATGCTTTTGAACTATTTCATTGAATATTTCCTCTCTACATCTATGTTTAATTTGAAACTTAAATACTTTGTTATAAACCAATATTTTGAATTCTTAAAAAGTTGAAAAATATTATATACTCACATGCGAGATCAGCTTTGATTGAATTTAGGTTCAGTTATTCTTCCTGGTTTTGTTCAGTGTAGGCTTATTAGATGCTAATTGTTGACTTCTTAACTGTATAATTCATGTACATTATAAGAATTTTTCTTCACCTGTACTTTTATTACTGTCTCTCTTTTAAAATAAAATGTGTTGAACAAATATGAATGTTTTATTTCTATTTATAATTTTGGACAATTTTGTGTTGTAGGGTGTGGTAAATGCAGGCCCTGAAGGTTTCCAATGCTCCTACTGTGAGAAAAAGTTTAACTATATTGGAAATTTAAACAAGCATATCAAGTCAATGCATCTGAAGCTTAGATTTAATTGTCCATTATGTGAGAAAACATTCTCAGAGAAAGGCTCTGTCAAGAAACATATTCGAGTTGTACATAATCATATAGTGGAGTCCTATAAACAAAAACATACTTAACAATTCACTTACTTTATCAAGTATAATATACCACTTACATTAACACTTTTATCAAAAAATAACAGAAATATATTTATATTTGTATATTCTTAATTTCCTTCATAAATACACCAGGTCCAACTTGATAAACCTTCTAAACTGTTTAGGAATTATGTGTGAAACACTGAATAAAGTTCCATCTATCATATTCCTTATTTATTTATTTGTAGGCGAAGGAAGTGAGAGGACACATTTGTCCTGTTTGTTTCAAACAATATGAATCCAGGTCCAATGTAGAAAGACATTTCAGAAGTAAACATATGAACATGTTTTCTGTTTGTCCAATATGTCAAAAGAAATATACAGATAAAAGTAATCTGACACGTCACATGAAGAATGCTCATCATGTAACTAAAGAATAAAACTGATGTAATGGTTGGAATGGTGTTAAAAATTCATTGAGTCAAATCTCTTCATGCTCTATAAAGTTGGCCATTTTACTGAAAGTTTCAACTTAATGTACATTAAATATGTTGTTAATGTTCTGAGGTTCCTGGTTGCATTATGTACTTAATCAGTTCAAATTATACATAACTTTCCAGTTGTACAATATGTCCTTCCAAATAGAACTGCTGGTTAAATGACACTATGACTTCAACTTAATAACACACCATGTCGATATTGTGGACCTTCTTGTAAACTTGAGAACAACCTTCACAGGTCGTTGAAAAATGTCCAAATTGGCAAAAAAACAACTCTGCCTTCCATCAAGGTTTATGGATAATGGGAGGCTAATGACATTGTGATTATATTTTGTAGGTTCAAGGGCAACAAGAAGACATATTTAGATGTTCAAAATGTGGGAAAGGATTTGCCAATAAATCCAACTTATCTAGACATATTAAAGGTGTACATCTAAACATCAAACGTTTCTGTCCAGCTTGTCATCAACAATTTACTGATGTTGGAAATATGAAAAAACATTTTGACAGAGTTCATAGATTATGTTGAAAGATGCCCTAGTCCTTGAATGCCAAACAATAACAAATCCTACTAAAAACAAATTTATAGTAACACAAATATCATGAATTTATTTGGAGAGACTGTGTAGAAAAACTAAACTTTTATTTAAAATATCTTTTGTAGGTTGCTTATTGGATAGGTGAAGATGGGTTATATCGATGTTCAGAGTGTTTCAAGTCTTTTAACCATAAATGTAGTTTAAAACGTCATTTTGAAGGCTCACATCTCAATATTCGACATACATGTCCTATTTGTTTGAAGTCTTTCTCTGATAGAGGAAATTTAGCCAAACATGTCAAACTCAAACATTATAAAAAAGAATAAGAAAATACAAAGTTTGAGTATTGTAAATGGTTAAATCCAAAAAATACAATTTTGATTTCCTATTGCCGTTGATTGATTGGATTTAAGGTAATGGAGCCTAAACATAAGTATAGAGTTGAAATCGTTGAACAGTACATGTATAAGTCAATGATTTTTGTTAACAATCATAACTAGACTGAAGATTGTATTAATGTGATAAGTCAATGATAACAGGGTTGGAATATTTGAGAGAAAAAAAAGGCTATTTAGAATTTTATTTGCACAGTTTTTTCCATCACCTAGTTCTTATCTTTAAAGAAAGTCTTCATTAATTCTGTCTTCTCTTGAATTATTATTCGAGAGGGAAGAAATGTACGTAAATGTATACACAATATTTAAAAAGATTAAATCATGCATAATATGACAAAATTGAATCTGAATTTTTCACTGTATATTTTTAGGCTACAGCTGATGCAGATTCATTATTTCAATGTCAGCTATGTGGTAAACTATTGAGTTGTCAGTTTAGTTTAAATAGACATGTTCGATGTACACATCTAGGATACAAACATAAGTGTCCTGTAGATAATTGTGGACAACAGTGGACCGATAAACGTGGCTTGCAACGGCACATGATAAAACAACATCCTAACTATCCTGCCTGGAAATCCCGGAAAAGGTGAAAAAAAAAACATGTCTATCTCCATACACAATTTGACTATATTTGTTTATAAACAATTAAAATACTGTCACAAAATCGTATTTTTAATACTTTGTTTGAAGTTGAGCACCTTGATTTTTAACCGTTATTTGAAATTGACATCATTGTACCTGATAATCTGATCATCATTAGTGACATCATTGTACCTGATAATCTGATCATCAGTGGTGACATCATTGTACCTGATAATCTGGTTGTCAGTGGTGACATCATTGTACCTGATAATCTGGTTGTCAGTGGTGACATCATTTTACCTGGTAATCTGGTTGTCAATGGTGACGTCCACCTTCAGTGGTAACAGCAAATCTAGTGTCACAATCTTACTTCACCCATCACCCAGTGATATATGATATTATTTGATAAAATTATTATTTAGTGTACAAATAGAAATGATATTTTATTATTGCTATATATATATATATATTGTAGGATGTGTTTCCACAACAGTTCACATGTTCAGTTTGTGGTAAAAATTTCCATTCTAAGTCTAATTTAACCAGACATTACAGAGGAGTTCATCTCAATTTTAAAGTCAGTTGTCCACTTTGTAATCAAACTTATACTGAGAGACACAATCTTAGGAAACATATAGCTCGACAGCATCCAGAAGCACTTCAAAATTAAATTAATCCTATTTATAATGCTGTGTTTATAATTGTGTGCTCACTATTTTATAAGGCTCTTTCAAGGGTCCTCATATCTGTTATTTTGGTATTTGATTATTGTTCTCAAATTGAACATGATGTTTCTGTTGTCAGTCAGTTGAATTTGCATTAAAATTTGAACACAAAATAATGTAAAGTAAATTGAGTTTGCAACACAAAATAATGTAAAGTAAATTGAGTTTGCAACACAAAATAATGTAAAGTAAATTGAGTTTGCAATGTTTTGTTGTGGATATTATCTCTAGTTTTGGTAGTTTTGTATTGTATATATATATACTGACTTTTGCAGAGTTATGTGTTTTATACTTCATCTTTTAAATGCTGTATACCAGTATATCACTCCTAGGGTGATGGTATGTTATATAGTTGTATTTAAGAAATTTATTGTAATGTTGAATAAAATTGTTATAATTTTTATGTATATTTTTTATATTGGGAAGTATTACTTTCAAAACATTACTTTCTTGATAGTTAAGTTTGTCAGCTGACCTTTTCATTCGTGTGACATGGTCTTTTAGTATTACAAGCATTAGATAATGAATAGTACATTGACAAGAACAATTGAAAAGCAAAGCAGTTTTATTGTTATGACCAAGTATGATGAAATGCACAATATTCAGGATTAAATGAAAATGAACATCCATGACAAAAGCCTGTATATGTACATTGTATTTTATGATGCTATTGGAAAGTAAAATAATACATACTTATGACACGTACATAAGGCATACTCAAGTCAATACTATAGTATTAAAGATTACACATTTGAAACAAATAGCCAGACACATGTATCTCAACACATATTATAGACTATAAGATATCACGAGCCATACACATGTATCCTAAAAGATACAATAGTTTTACAAGCATACTAAAACATCAATTGAAACTTATGCAAGCTGTACACGTGTATCTTAACATCTAATAGTATCATGAGCCATTCACATGTATCCTAAAACATCCAATGGTATCATGAGCCATAAACATGTGTTTTATGATTTTGATGTTTAGGGATACTTGTGTAGTATCGAATCATGTGGCTTGAAATACATGGTTTACAATACTATTGGACTGTGCAATGGTATAATTTTTTGCTGTACAAAATCTTGTTTTCTTAAATTTGATCATACGCTGTACATTTATTTTGTAGGTTAAACTACAAGATGATTTAAGTTGTTTGGTTTGTGGGAAAGTTTTTACCTATAGATCAAATTTAAGAAGACATTTTAAGACTTATCATCTTCAGTTTCGCTTTCATTGTCCAGTTTGTAAGAAAGCTTATCTTAAAAAATGTGATGTTAGAACCCATGTAAGGCACCAACATCCAGGGGTAAATGCGGATTTGATTTAGGTAGGCAAGATTTTGGTTGTCTTAAGGTCAAATTTTTTGTTTGTTACAAGTTGTCTAAAGATTATTACAAATGGATTGATTACTCTGAGGTGTTTATCTGTTGGATCATAGAAATTTATTAATACAGATCTGCAATATCTTATCAAAGATGTACATGTGCAGTACTAAAATATTTGAAAGTAAGAAGTTTCCACATCCTTAAAAACAAAATTGATTGAAATCTTGCAGTTGAAATTTACTGTTGCATAAAGATTTTGCTAATGAAAAAAATATCTGTTTTACTCTTGTTGCTTGTATATTACAAGTTATACATGTGTCTAATTATTTTCAAATATATTTTGTAGGAATCTAACAATGGTGTTTTTGACTGTCCAGAGTGTGGGAAAAAGTTCACATATAAATCTAACCTTAATCGACACATCCGAGGATCACATCTTGCTATTAAACACTCTTGTCCTGTTTGTTATAGTTCATATGCTTATGTTTCTGACATGAAAAATCATGTTCGAAGAAAACATCCTGAATTGTTCATGAACAGAAACCCAAATAACTATTAGAACTAGCATGACATTTGGATTATGTAATATATTTGTTTGGTAATTGTGAAAAGCAATGAAAAGTGTGAAATATCTATGCATGAAAAGTATGTACCGGTATTTCTTTGAAAGGTTCATTAACATAGTAATTATAAAGATTGATATGTGAATAATATTATTATAATAATAATGAAATATAATAAAAATGATCTTCCCTATCAAAAGTTTATGAAAGATAATGGTTAGGAAGATCATTCAGTCCAAAACAGCTCATTGGTTTGTCTTTACTGACTTTGAGAGTAGTGCTATTTAGTTGCTAGCAAGAAACACAAACATTTGTTTACAGTATATTTATATATATATATTACAATTGATACTGGAATGATAAATAAATTAATGTTTCTTCAATATATTTTGTAGGGTTATAATGATGAATTTGGTTGCCAAGTTTGTGGGAAAATGTTTGTTTGTAAATCCAGTTTAACGAGACATATCAGAGGATCTCATTTAAATGTTAAACACTGTTGTCCTATTTGTCATCAAGTTTATGTTTATCAATCAGATATGAAAAGTCATATGAAAAGAAAACATTTTCAAAATCTTGCCAGAAAGTGATTTCTAGATACGTGTTGTATATCGATTGATTTGAACGTGTGTCATTTTACATTGCATGTATTAATTCTTAAAGGGAGAGTTGATGTTTGGAAGAATTTAGTGCTAGTTTAACCTTTAATCAGAACCCGATAATAATATGACATAAGATGACATAATCAACCTGCTTGTTCAAAGAGCAAAGCATGGGGAGTAACTTATGCTTAATTTTATATTCAAAAAAACAATTTTACACACTTTAAATAAAAATACAACTCAATTAATAAGCATTATGTACTGTACAAAATTCAACATCAATTTCTTTGTATTTGTAGGCTGTTTTACCAGAAATATTTCCCTGTCCAGAATGTGATAAGATTTATGATTTTAAGTCCAGTATGTCCAGACACTTTCAATCTCAACATTTAAAACTGCGCTTTGATTGCCCATTCTGTAAGGGTACATTCACAGAAAGAGGAAATCTTCTCAAACATGTTCGAAAATTCCACAAAAATCAAACCTAGATCAAAAATATTGTGAGTAGAGTCTCTTATTAGAAAATATTGTGTCTTTTTTTCTTTTAAGTACACACTAATGCAAAGTAAGGCCCCTAGCCCCGTTTAAACCTTGTAGAAAAGTTCAAAATTAAACTGAAAATTTGAAATAAAACTGCTTTTAGTCTTTAAATTAATTTATTACTGTATTTTTGTAGGTTGGTGGTAATTTATCTTGTCCAGAATGTGGTAGAATCTTCAAACAACGTTATAATTTGAATCGACACATTCAAGGCACACACCTCAAAATCCGAGTACAATGTCCATACTGTCCTTGTAATTACACTGAAAAGGGAAATTTAATGAAACATATTAAAATAGTTCACAGAAAGTTAGATACAACGTAATGATTTAAATTGAAGTAGGATACTATTCTAAACAAATTAGCTCAATATTTCAGATCAGAGTAAGCAAATAAAACAATAATTACTTTAATTTTTAATATTATGAAACTACACAGATAAATGTTTATATGCTATTGTCTAATGTATATCTGTATAGCGGATGTCAGTACGTATGGCAGTGTTTTGGTTACTGTTACAAAGTAGTTAACAGTAGGTCGAGACTTAACTTGAAACCTACCCCTGATTTTGATATTCTTTTATGTTTAACCATCAAACTAAAGAATTGATTCAATAGAGCGCTTGATCTTCACCGCATCTTTGTAACTGATCCAAATAGAAATATTGATGATGACTTGCATCAATAGATTCCTTATAAATGGAAATGGGGGTGGAAGAGTGGGTAACAAATATTTCAACAAAACGAAATGATGAATGTGCTAAAACGATGGTTCAAAACTTTTTAAAACATATTTCTCTAATTTTAGTCTTGTAAATTAATTTATTACTATCATTTTGTAGGTTGGTGGTAATTTATCTTGTCCAGAATGTGGTAGAATCTTCAAACAACGTTATAATTTGAAACGACACATTCAAAGCACTCATTTAAAAATCCGAGTACAATGTCCATACTGTCAACGTAGTTATAGTGAAAAGGGGTCACTGATGAAACATATAAAACTCACACATAGATAGGATATTTGTATATTCGATATCAAAATCTGAAAAATTAGAAGTCATTAAGAATATACTTCCATGCTCTGCAAATTCCAGTGTTAGAATACAAAAACTTTCTGAAAATACAAATTTAATGTTGTGCTTTCATTCTATGACTATCTGTTATTCGATATTTCTTTTCATGGTATATAATAATTTCATTGTGGATTTGATCATTCTCTCATTAAATTTGTGTTATTTTTACTATTTTATAGGTTGGTTTATGTAAAAGTGGTTCTTATGGTTGTGCTATCTGTCACAAAGTCTTCTCCTCAAAGTCTAATTTATTACGTCATATACGAGGCACTCATACTAACCAATCTTTTAAATGTCCCTTCTGTTCCCATCAGGCTAGATACAAAGGAAATTTACAAATTCACATCAGAACTCAACATCCAAATTATTCAAATTTATGTTCAAACTAAGTAAGGTATGTTAAGAAATCACATAATCAGATACAGATACAAAATTTGTAATCACATAAGCAAGATTCAAGCCAGACAGGATACAAGCTGACAAGTTGTAACTGGCAAAATACACATAAACATATGACGATCATAAACAAGATACATGCCAGTAAAGCATGTAAACTGGATAAATACCAGGAAATCATATGAACCGAAAATCACATTAATATGAACATGTATAACAGGATTCATAATGTTTATAAACAAGATAAAAAGTAGGAAATCTCATTAATAAAGAGGTAAAAACTAGGATTTCATATTAACAGGATATAAACATAAACACAAAGATGCAAACTATCACATAATCAGGATATAAAGTAGGTATTCACGTAAATAGGATATATTCTACAAGATTACAAAAATGGTTATAAAATCACATAAACAGGTGCAAACTAGGAAATCACATTAACAGATACAATTTACTGAAATGCATGTGTAATTTTGGATTGAAGAATATGTTTCAAATGAGATTTTACTTGATCTAAATTTAAAATCCCCTACTCAAATCTTTATTTCTTCTATTTTAGGTGTATTTTAGAAGTAAGCAAGCATTTGAGTGTTATGCCTGTGGAAAGGGCTTCAGTCTAAAAGGAAATCTTAAGAAGCATATTGCAGGCAAACATTTAGATTTGAAATTATTTTGTCCAGTTTGTAACAAATCATTTAATTTTCAGTCAAATTTAATCAAACATATGCAAACAATACATAAAATATATAAATTTCAGTAATTCAGAGTTTCTTGTCTATTTCTGTTTAAACCTTTTCTAGAAATAAGGTTAATTCTTATTCAATTCATTAATAAATGTGAGAGTGAAATTGTAGAAATTATGAAAATGCTTCATTACATTTACCATTAAATACAATGGCGGTAGAGGGGTGGGAGATGAGAGGCATTAGGGCCCCTAAAAAAAATGATTTGAACCCAAATTGTATTCTTCAAATTTAACAAGTATAATAAAATATGATTTTTATATATTTTTGTCCTAAATATGTGTCCTAGGGGAGAACCCCGAAAGGCGCTCCATGGGAGGCTTGCCACTATGCACTTCAACATACCTGCCACATTTTAAACTCAACCTTGAAAGTTTTCCCTTGTCAGGCCAGTCTGCCTTCTATTTGTACCCAAAGTTTCGCAAAGGCTCACGTCCCTACATAGACATGTAATAAAATCTGTAAATCTATATTGACTTTCTAAACACACCAGCCTGTAATATATCACAGTTTCATTGTTATGTAATAATCTACTTGGTTTATATTTGTATCTAATTATATTGAAAGTTGTGTTTGTTATATATTGTAGATTGGTGAAGTCTATTCTTGTACGTTTTGTGAGAAATGTTTCAGAGTCAAAAGTAACTGGAAAAAACATATCAAAACACAACATCTGAATATAAGAGTTAAATGTCAGTTTTGTGGACAACTTTTTACTGAAGAATATGTTAAAAAACACATTAAAAGAGTCCATGCAAAAGAATATTTATGAAAATGTTATCCAAGTTTTTAATTATGCAAACAGAAGACAAAATAATAACAAATATTTTCATAATTATGTTAATATTGATAACTACACTTACGCATACAATAATAATTTTAAAAAGTAATCAGGGTATTAAAAGCTAAGAATATTTCTCAAGAATCAGTTGAAAAAGTTGGTTATAAAATAAACTTTATTTTCAATGTTATATATTTTAGGTATCTTCTATAGAAGGTTATTATTGTAGATATTGTGGGAAATGTTTTCGTGAAAATGGTAATAGATTAAAGCATATCAAAACCCAACATCTTAATATCAGGGTTAACTGTCCATATTGTAATAAAAGATTCACAGAGGAATATGTTAAAAAACACATCAAACGAGTTCATATAAGATGATAAAATGAAGAAAAAAAACCACACAATAATATCACTTCATTAAAAAAAAAAAGTAATTTACCCTCTAAGACATCTTCACAATGTCAAGCTATTAGTAATTCGTCTGTAAATGCAGCGATTTGATGCAGAGGTTTCGATAGAAAATCTGTGATCACAAAGCCATAATGTTTACAGCCTTTGTTGAGGATTCTGATAAGCTGTATTTGTGGCTGTACAATCCAATCCAATCAAATCACTGCTTTCCACGATACAAGAATAGTGGCCATATCAGTCAAGGTATAAGAAAGAAACGCTTGACATCGTGAAGATATTATACTGCATAATTTATAACTATGTCATTTTGTACTACCATAATAATTAACCTAGTTAGAATTTCTAATGTCTATTAAGTTTTGCACGGAAATCCATTGATGTTTATTAAGATATCTATATTGTTGGATTGAAAGTTTCACAGTTGAAAACTAATTGATACTGTTGTTGTTATATGAGATTAAACTTAATCAGGGTAGGCTACTAGTAATACAGTGTAGCCAAAAACATTGAGATGCGTGATGCATTCCAATTAAATGAAATCCTAAATGTGTTTCAGTATGTATTTAACTTATGTAAAGTTTTATATCATTTCATCACACAATGTAGTCCATATAAATAATATGTTTACTGTTTTATTTGTAGATTATTAAAACTGGTACATTTGAATGTGAATTTTGTGGCAAAGGTTTTACTTTAAAAGGCAATCTAAAGAAACATGTAGTAGGCAAACATTTAAATGTTAAATCTCAATGTTCAATATGTTTTAAAATGTTTGCTTATCAAGCAAGTCTTATCCATCATATGAAGCAGGTCCATCCTAAAGGCACTGATTTTAGATTTTGACCAATGATATGGACCATCATATCGAGGGCTCACTGCCAGAATTTGCTATATCTTAAAATTTATTTTGAGACAATGCTGGTAGTGGGTCTTCGATGTATCTAGTTGAATCGATGCATTTTGATTGAATATTTTTGTTTTTTTATTACGGTCAAGTCAAACCTTTTGAAAAAGTTTTAATTTTCAATCTGTATTGGCATTTATTCTCTGCATTTTTCTCAATTTATGTAAAATGTCTAGAATTCTGTAATTGTGTTATCTCTGTTACTGTAAATATATCTGTAAAGTAACACTTGCAGAAATGTCTGTTTGGTTATAATAAATATTATATTTTTCATGGTTGTTCTTCCTTATCTTGAGACTTTTTAAAATTTTGCAAAATGTTAAGATTACAGATGCCTGGAAAGGGACACCTAAAAGTTGCTATAACTAGTACAGCTATAACATCAAAATTTAATTCAATCAAATTAAGACCAAATTTATCACATAGTCTGTTAAAGACAAAATTATTGTTAACATCTTCTACATCATGGGCAATCCCTTTTATATTTGGATAGAATAAAGTAATTAAAACTTTATAAGTCAGACTTATATTCTATACATTAGAAACTACCTACCTCAAAATAAAGTGCACATGTTTAGTTTTGAATCATACAAAAATATTCTTCTCAACTCTAATTTTACTAGTAATGAATTATATATTATATAGAATATGAAGGAACAAGAATTCTGTTAGCTAATTTATTTTTTCTTATTTTGTAGTGGAGTAATTTTTCCGGGAGTATGGCGAAACTAGAATGTGAATTTTGTGGAAAACAGTTTAACTATAAGAGTAACTTAACTAAACATATTAAAGGACAACACATGAAAATTCGAAGTCATTGTCCTATTTGTGGCAAAAGTTTTTTACAAAAGGGATATCTTAAAATACACATCAGAGATCAGCACAAACTTCCATAGTTGAAATAATGTAATTGTAATATCAATGATTAGATAAATTTTAACTATGTCTGCTCTTATATAAATAAGTACTTTTACATGTTTCACATTAACATTTACAAAATTCATTGTAAGAAAAACAAATCAGAAATCAAATATAATGTAATATGTGAGTATGACTTCTAAGAATTCTATTGAGTGATATTGATAATAAATAACTATAAATACTAAAATACAGCAGTAAAGATCAATTCTGGCATTGAATAAACTTGTTCACAAACAATTCTTATTGCCTTGAATGTTTGCCAAAATTGTCAAATTCCATGGATGCTCATGTTAACACTTACGTGCAATTTCATATATATATATATATACAGACAGTATAATTGTTGTTAATTTCTGTTCTCTGTATATTGTAGGATGCCATTGTTGACATGAATACCAGAGAAAAGAAAATACCATGTCCTGTTTGTTACAAGGTTTTTTCTTCAAAAGGAAATTTAAGACAACATATGGAAGGAAAACATTTTAATCTTCGCTTTTCATGTACATTCTGTTCTCGGACATTTACACAGAAAAGTTCTTTAAAACTTCATATGCGAACAATTCACAAACTGGCACTATAATATAATATTGTATCATGAATGATATGATAAATAGAATCATACATGATGTTTTAGTTTAGTACCTGTAGTGTACAAGGTGTTTTGTTGGCTGTAGGTGGAATTTTAGAAAAATGATTATGTAATTTTTGGTTTCGGCTGAAACGCATTCAAAATCATTTTCTAGTAAAATGTTTATTTTGGAAAATCTCTAAACTTCCTTTTGTGGCACATCCTCTTAATTTCCTGTTAACTTTATCAGTGAGTCGTTTACAGACATTTGATTGATATCAAAACTAAGAAGTTACTGTATTTCTGTACATTGTTTGTATAAAAAGACACGGGTACTTGTATCAATTAATCACAAATTAGAACATTCAGTCCAAAATGTTGGTCAGAATCAGGTGCATTTACTCCTTCCATCAGAGAAATGTGAAGTTATCAAACCTCATGATTTTATGGGTCAAATGACATACCTAGGAAATGATTTAAAATTTCATTTTGTTAACATTTGAAATGACAGATAAAATATGTTTTACTTTGTTTTGGGATAAATCCTATGGAATGCATACAGTATCTAGATCTAAAAATGTTTCATTTTATTTTGTAGAATAAATCATCAAGACCTAATTTTGTGTGTTATATTTGTCAGCAAAGATTAACTAGTAAAGGCAACCTTAAGAAGCATATGCAAGGGAAACATTTTAATGTGAAATTTACATGTCCTGTTTGTCATCAAACATTTACACAGAATGGTTCTATGAGGAAACATCTATATAGAGTACATCAAATGTAAATCAACTAACTCCACCACACTTAATGATGACATATCTCTTACCTGTATCAAATCATAATTTTACTGAATAACCTAAATATATGGTGTTTTGGTTGTAGGACTGTTTCTTAGTACTAATATTTGACTTAATTGAAATTACTTGTACAACTTAACTAAATAATCAGTGTCTATATAAATCATTAAACTTGTATGTGATACTTGATTAAAAACACTGAATCAAAATAATAACTTGTACAGCTACATTAGATCATCCATATAATCATACATGGAAATCAGATCAACAGCTAAAAAAAAGTTGTTGAATGGTTGTATTGAAAAATTAAAAAAAAAAGACCATGGGTTTTCAGTGCAGGGAAAGCTATTGTAATTTTGAGACATTAAAGTTACACAATGTAATGATGATGAAACATGGATTACTCTTAGCTAATATTGTCCATGTATGATGTGTTGTATTGTGGCCAAAAATGGGTGCTAATTTTGGGATTGAACTTTACAACATTTTTGCACATTTCTCATATTATTTGAAAATAGTCCAATCATTCTTTATAATAATAATACTATAAACTGAGATATACAATATGTACTGTTTGACATATCACACTACCTATTTCTTATATATAGTGTAATAATAATGTGCTGAACTACAATTACATTGACTGGAAATTCTTCTTTATATTATAGGAAGATGGCTTGAATGATCAATGTCCAGAGTGTGGAAAAGTGTTTTCACATAAAGGAAATATGAAGGCACATTTAAAAGCAAGACATTGGAAAATAAAACATGATTGCCCCATTTGTGGACGAAAGTTCACTCAGCGTGGTTCATTAAAAGTTCACATACAAACACTTCATTTTAATCAGTCTTAAAACCATTGTTAGTGGTTTGTTAAATGACAAACTGAAATATAGTATTCTGCTTTATTTTATAGGGTGATATATTGGATGTTCAATGTCCAGTGTGTGGAAAATTATTCTCTAAAAAGGCAAATATGAAGGCACATGTGAAAGGAAAGCATTTAAATGTTCGATATGATTGTTCTATATGTGGTAGTAAGTTCACCCAGCGAAGCTCTTTAAAAACACACATTCAGAAATTTCATTTCAACCTCAAGTATATTACCTATTTGAAATGAATACAAGAAACTATTTTGTGAAACTAATATGAGTTGTGAGAAAGAAAAAACTTATCAAGTGATCCAGCAGATCAGACTTGTTTTCATCTTTCCAAAAGTGGATGGAGACATTTCATTTGTGTTACATCTATCAGGGTCACAATCAGTAACAGCAGAACTATTTTACACTCTGCTGAATCTGCAATTGTCTAGATGCTAGATAGAATAGAATATAGATTTATTGCAATGAGACTTCATCATTGACAATAAAATGGATTACTTTAAAGTTTTCCCATACAAAGTATGACACAGGCCCATTTTGAAGTTGAAAGTATTGAATGCACTGTTAGATAGGTGTTAGGTATATGTAGGATTATCTAGATACATTTTAAATTAAACAAGACTTAAAGTATACAATATTTACGATGAGTTTTTTGGTTATCTAATAAATTTAATTTAATAATTCATGAAACTTAACAAGATTTTGTTTTTTATTTTAGGGGATAATGTCAGTAAATGTTAGTTGTACAATTTGTGGCAAAGGTTATTCACGTCGCAGTAATTTAAACCAACATATTCGTAATAAACATTTTAATAGAACCTTTGATTGTCATTTGTGTGGAAAACAGTTTTCTCAGAAGATTTGTTTAAAAGTTCATCTCAAGAGAATTCATCAGTTGGCCGTCTAATAGATCATTAATTTCTTTGTATTTTCAATGATACTCATTATCTATTAGTTTTTCCAATATGTGTGAATAAGGCAGCAAAAATTAAAATATTAATGTGTGTTTATTTTTATCTTTTTTAGGGAAGTTCTGAGAATTATTGTTCACTTTGTAATAAATGGTTTTCTCATAAAGGAAATTTGAAGCAGCACATACGAACTATACATTTTAAAGAAAAGTTTGTCTGTCCTATTTGTGGAAAATTTTTTACTCAGAAAAATCGTGTTAAAACTCATCTACTAAGTATCCATGGGTCTAAGTAGTAGCTGAAAAAACTGACAACTCTATTTGAAAATCATGAAAGGGACAGATACACCACTTTGGGGGGTATAAGTAAATAGTCTTCAGTAGTACTAGAAATGTTTTCAAATGGCATAATTCCTTAAAAATATCTCAAAATAGGAATCTTTCTATTTCTTTTGATGTCTTTTTTTATATGTGACAATGTCTCAAGAAAAGACGAAGGCTCAAATTTTGAAGGTGAGCTGTGAACACTTACTAATAGGCCTAGCTAAAGAAAATTTCCATTTCTGGGACGAAGGTATGATTGGTCCAAAAAGGGTGCATCTGTCCCTTTAATCCATCCATTCACAGACACATTATAACATATAATACTTCAAAATGATACAAACATAAAAATTCCAGTATACAGTCATATCAATAATGATCTTCAATTTCCCAGGTTTTCAAAGTTTCTAAGATTAATAGGATTTTGTTAGTAGGTTTATTTTAGAGTTGAATAGTATTTTATAGCAATTACTTCAAAAGAAAAATAAATTATTAATGAATTAAGCGTAAATGATAATATTCTTATTTTTTGTCTTTGTAGGGATATTATGATCAACAGATCTGTCCAGTTTGTCATAAAATATTTTCACATAGAGGGAATATGATACAACATTTAAAGACTAAACATTTTAATCAGAGGATTTCATGTCCAATATGTGGTAAAAGTTTTACTAAGCGTCAGGCAGTGCGACATCATCTTCAACAACTTCATGGCTTAACAAATCCAGCTGAGTACATGAAACAACGTGATAATTTGAAAAATAATGTGTAACAACAAGATACAATAAAACTTATGTTAAAAAATTTGAGTTAATGATAATATCTCATTCCTTGACTAACTTTGACAACATTTTTACAATGCGTAAACTATTTTATAACATTACCTTGACAAAATCATTTTTTCTTAACTGCGATGTGATAATCACACTTAGGTTTTGATAACTTTAAAAACATATATGTATTGACTTTCATAACTGATTATTGCTGATAACAATTGAGTAACTAGTAGTTTCTAACAACATTGGTAACTTGGAAATATCCTTAATAACTGAATTATAAATTTGTTAACTGAGTTATAAATTTGATAACTGAATTGTAAATTGGTTAACTGAGTTATAAATTTGATAATTGAGTTATAAATTTGATAACTGAATTATAAATTTTTTAACTGAGTTATAAATTTGTTAACTGAGTTATACATTTGATTACTGAATTATAAATTTGATTACTGAATTATTAATTTGTTAACTGAGTTGTAAATATGATAACTTAATTATAAATTTGATTACTGAATTATAAATTTGATAACTGAGTTATAAATTTGATATCTAAGTTGTTTATATGATAACTGATTGTAAATTTGATAACTGAATATTGATCTTGATTACTGACTATATCATTGTGTTGATTTATTCAACCAAATTTTACACTAGACTAATAGAAGTTTCGGGAAATATTACCTTTAAACTTTCTATATTTTCAAAGATTCTAAATTGTTACTATTTTATTTTCCAGAATCCTATCTATCGGACACCTCACTATTGTTCTATTTGTGATAAGTGGTTTTCTCATAAAGGAAATTGGAAACAGCATATGGAAGGGAAGCATCTAAATGTCAGATTTGATTGTCCGCAATGTGGGAAAAGGTTTACTCAAAAAAGTTCATTAAAAACTCACATCAAGGGTGTACATTTATTCAATATGAGGATTAAGAACATGTAGCAATACATGTTCTGGACTTATTTAATTAAAAGATGGCAATATTTTGACATTTCCTAAATACAAAAGGTGATAATATTTAGACATGATCAAAATATAACTATTGACAATATATTGACTTATATTTAAATGATAACACCTGACAATGATTTGACTCGACAATTTTTGATTTATTTTTATCTTACAACAATATTTTTACTTAAAATTTAAATGGTAACAACTGACAATATTTTCACATATTTCAATGATAACAACAACTGATGATATTTTGACATATTTAATTGATTACAACTGGCAATATTTAGACTTGTTCAAAAGATAACTATTAACAATATCTTGACTTGTTTAAAAAGGAGAGATCAAGTAATTTGTGAGTATTTAATGGGTGACAACTGGAAATAGTTTGATGTTTTCGAAAGATAATCCAGCAATCCTATGGATAAAACAAATGATTGAAGTGTTTGAAAGTTAAAGACTAACAACAATTATTTGACCTATTTGAAATAACAACCTTTTAAGGCGCATAGTAAAATGTAAAATACTCTTGGGATAAAAATGTTAAGAATTACAATTAAGATGTATGATTATTAATGTTATCAAATTTGAAATAAGGGTGTTTTCATTCGACCGCTTGCTGTGCATATGTTATTTTTTTAACAGAAAATTATTCTTGCAATTCTATCTTTTGTAGGGTAAATTAATCCATTGTTCTATATGTGGTAAAAACTATACATTAAAAGGAAATTTGAAGAAACACATAGTTCAACAACATTTGAATGAAAGAGTTATCTGCCCTGTTTGTGGTAAAAATTTTACTCAGCGTGGTAATATGAAAACACACATGGCTAATGTGCATAAAATGTTTTAAACATTTGCAACATTTGTGTTTCTTAGATGATACTCATATCATTTGTCAATTCTTAATTTAATCATTCATTCTTATAAAAAGTTAATAATTTATTTTGTGGCCAGTTTTAAGGCAACTTAGTGGACCTAATAACAAACAATATAACATCTTGTTAGGATCTAGAGGGAAATTTGCATAAAGTATGTTGACAATTTGTCACTCTTCTGCAGTGAAATATTGAATGATAGCAGCACTTCAGAACTGAAGATTTTGCACTCACTTTCTGACACATTAGATTAGACCAGATTAGATTATATCAGATTAGACCAAACTTTTTATATTCATCGTATTTTGAATTTTGTATGTATATATCTACAAACTGAAGTCAATAAAAAAAATCAATTTATTTACCCATCTGAAGACTTATGTTCTGTCTAGGATTATTGTAAAACATGTTCTGTCTAGGATTATTGTCAAACATGTAAGATCAAGGATTAGTGTAAATCATGTACTATCAAGGATTATTGTAAAACATCTAAGATCAAGGATTAGTGTGAATCATGTACTATCAAGGATTAGTGTGAATCATGTACTATCATGTGAACTGTACTATCAAATGGTTATTGTGAACTGTACTATCAAATGGTTATTGTGAAAAGTGTACTTATATCTAATGATTATTATTAAAATGCTTGTGACATTATCACATTTATTCTACTTTTTTTCCATAATTGTGTTATTTTCATGTAAATATAGACAATTACATTTATCATGTGTGATTGTAGTTCAATCTCTTGGAATTTACTTTTGTATTTTTTCATCTTCACTATAACTATGCTATTTGGAGAGTAGTGTTTTCACTGCATTTACCCAAAATACAAACACACTTTGTGTATATTAGTATTAGTTTCATTATAAAGGTTCAATCAAATTCAACATTTATTTCATTCAAAATACATTGTTAGGAAATGAATGACACAAGTCTGTTATAATATCATATTTCAAAGATGAAAATGAATAATTTTATCTATATTATGTATATACATGCTCTGAATATGTATCTTTGACAGAAATTATCTTGTCATTGATTTGATTCTATCTATCATTTAGTTCAATGATAGCAATGTTTTATAATTAAAGATTTAAGAATTAAAGGTTGTTATATTTTTAATATTTTCTAGGATAAACCATCAAGAAGATATCAATGTCAAGTCTGTGGCAAGAGTTTTACTTTGAAGGGAAATCTCAAGAAACATATTGAACAACTTCATTTTAATTACAGAGTTTCTTGTCAAATTTGCAATAGAGAGTTCACAAGAAAAGCCAATATGTTCAATCATATGTGGAGTGTTCATCGTGTGAGGCCAGTTCCAATATCTTCTCATGACATTAATATAACAAGTAGCTTTGACCATTAGTGATCAATTACAATATGGTGGACCATCTGTAGGCATAACTACTTACTGTGAAACTTTTTGTGAAAAATTCCTAATATTTTTACTGTCTATAATGTGTAATTGTGGCAAGTTTCCTAATAATAAAAAACAGCACTATATATGCAACATACACATCATGTTAACTTGTACCATACATTATCATAATAATATAATAATAATAATAATAATAATAATAATAATAAAAATACCAATAAAATATTCATAAAAGTAATTTTAACATTGAATTATTATTTATTTGATTATTTTAATATAAATTCATTCTATATTATAATAAATAAACACATTATACATAATTTGAATTTTATAATAAAAAACATCAAAATTGTATTGCTGGGACTGGAGAATATTTGAAAAATTGGCTGGTGATGATTTGTGGTGTCCTTACCTCAAATAATGATAATAAATTGTGATAATACTGAAAAAACCTAATTTAAGTAGATTTTATTTATTTGTTGTAGGTTGAGTTTAAACGAGGTACCAGTAATAATGAGGATAAAGTTCAATGTCCACATTGTGAAAAATGGTTTGATTATGTATCAAGTTTAAAGAGGCACATCAATAGCATACATTTAAATAAAGTCCACACTTGTCCTATTTGTGGAAAACTATGTAGTCAAAAATACCATTTAAGAGATCATATTCGACGTAAACATAAAATACTTGGAGTTAGTCAAGAATAGGGAGTGTTACTTTGTGAAACAGGAGTGTATCATTGAGTTATTTTGGGATTTTATATTAGTAATTGATATTGTAATGTTTGATGACTTTGATAATGAAAACTTAAAAGTAACACAAAGTAGGAATTGACTTCAATACTTAATACAATCTCTCTGTAATTATAGGAAAATGATTTATACATTTGTGTTACTAGAAGTTTGTGTTCATTTAAGAAGTTATTTTTTCGCACCAATCAAAAGAGCTGTTTTCTAATGACTTAAAAATTAAACTTATGAATGTATTTTTGAAAAATGATGCTATGATATCAGAAAAATTGCATTTTTCTTAAGCACACTTTTCCTTGGTGAGTATTCTGAACATATTGATCAAGGTTCAACTACTAGCAAAGCAAAAAAGTGTATTTACATCTTTTTTTTTTTTTTTTTTTTTTTAAAAAAAAAGATTATTAGCGATGATATTAGGTTTCTTTAAAATCTTGTCAAACATATAATGGATTTTTCATTTTATATTTAAGGGATCAGAGGGACAAGCTTGTTATTGGTGTGAAAAGATATTTAAACACAAGCGTCATCTCAATCGACATATTAAGAGTAAACATATGAATATACGTCCATGTTGTAATCTGTGTGGAAAAGCATTTGCTTATAAAGAATCATTGAAGTATCACATGAAACATATACATTTACAGTACAACTTCTAAATTCTTAAACTATATTCTTAAAATCATATGTATATTCATTGTGTTATATTCTAAGCCATGCTACTACTCATATTTTGATAGTGCATTATCAATATTCATCAGCTTATTTCTGATGTGCCACAATATAAAAATAGAGGTTTATGAATGGTTCGATATTTATATTAAAAAGGGTAATATTATAAATAGTTCGAAATTTTACATTCATGGTCCCATTTGTATTTTCATGGTCCCAATATGCTATTTTATATACTTCCTTAATTGAAACTACTAATCTGAATTATTGATGAAAAATTATATTGTTTTTTATTTAAGGAGATCCAAGGTCGAGTTTGTCGTTGGTGTGGAAAGAAATTTAAACAAACTGGTCATCTAAATCGTCATATTAAAGGACAACATTTAAATATTCGTCAAACCTGTCCATTTTGTAACAAAACATTTGCATATAAAGACTCACTTCGCGATCATATCAAGGCATCTCATACTGCCCAGTTGAGCAAACTTGATAAAACAAATTGATAATGTTTAATTGCTAATGTAGTCCTGATTGATAAGCATGTCCTGTTACAATAGACACAACACTTGGATTTCTTTAAATGTAAAGTCTGATTGTTGAATCACTATTCGACATAATAAGTCAAATATTTCAACAAAGCCTTCATTTTCTAAACCTTTATTTGTGATTTGAAGGCTGAGTTGAAATATTTCAATCGAGGCAGAGATTTAAGATGGCTATGAACTATGTTCGTGTGTGTTATTTCCATGTAAGAACAATACATGCGTATGAGTTTGGTCCTATTGTATGATTGATATGCAAACATATTATCTACTGTTTTAAATAGATGTCATGGTAAATATGTGTAAATTTAAAGTTTTTTTATGTATTTTTTTAATAATTTCTTTATATTTTAGGATGATGTGGAACGTCCAATGTGTACTTTTTGTGGGAAACATTTTTCCAGTCGCAGTAATGTAGCTAAACACATTAAAGCATTTCATCTTAATATCTATTTTCAATGTCCATTTTGTGAAAAACAATGTAGTCAAAGATTTCGCCTTAGTGAGCATATAAATTTAAAACATGGAATATCTCCTGACAATTTTAGACTGGAACCAAAATTTAAAAAATAAGTTTTATTTGTAATATATGCTTTGATGTTTTTTAAGAATATTTTTTGACCAGTCCTATTGTGAACCTGACTTAAAATGAAATTTAATCATTCTTGATAATTCTATGGGTGAATATTTTGTTTATTTATATATATTAAATTCTAATATTTACATTTTATTGTCATGTAGTGATCTCCGATGACCTAATGATGTCGTAATGATGTCATCTCCTATGACAACGTGGGATGCGGCGTATAAATACACTAAAACTTTCAACTAAAAATAGACAAGGTGATGGAACAAATCTCGATTTCCGAGTTTGTGATGAATGTCAAAGTTATTTGTTTCTCTTACAGATGAACTTTCTAATGTTTTTCCATTCGTTTGTACAAATGACAATAATGATAGGTTTAACTATGTTATGGAAATAACTTTATCCTTCAAGTACGAACACTACCGAATGTAAATATAAGGATTGAATATAGATTTTTTTGCATTCATTTGTCGATGAACGCCAATATTTTCACGTGTTAAATCTTACATGTTTCGCCATTCATTCGAATTAACACTTGAAAATTCTGCGATCATCAACCAATGAACGCAAAAAAAATCTACATTCAATCCTTAAATAAATATTTTTGTTATTTTTGTAATTTTCTCATGAACTTATGATTTTCTTATTTTATGTTTTCATGATTATGTAACATTTTCATGATCTGGTATGTATATTTTGTTACATTTTCATAATCCATTTTAAGAAATTCACATGATTTAGAATTGTTTGTATCATTATGTAGAAAACTCATTATTTAGACTTGTATAAATATAACAATACATAGGTTAATCAGAATTATCCATTCACATTTTATCATTAATAATTGAAGTAATTAACTATTTTATGATTTACATTTTGTTATTTCTCGTGTCATGTAGATATATAGTTTGTAATAGTTTGACGGAAGTGGGTCAGTTAATTAGTGTTAAATTCTTCATTGTTATTGCATGAAATAGATTTTATAATGTTTTATAAATAAAGAATCAAGAATCCAAGATTTACTTGCGTCAATTTAGGGAAAAATAGAAAGATTACTGTATTTGTTATTTTAGATCAATGCTGATTAGGGTTTGGGCGTATCACACCTGCAACTCACTACAATTATCACAATATGAATCAGCACTAGATTCTAAAGATTTTTTGTTTTATATCCCAGCATTGGTAATGAGGAATGATATTGTTATTACTATACTATGATAGTGAAATAAAATGAAAAATTATAAACAATCGGGGTTTTTCACAACGTATTGGCCCTATAAAGTACACACACGTCTATCACATGGTGCGTACGTGACACTTAACACTAGTTATGGATGGCATGTTTCAGCTATTCGGATTTTCGTTAAATCTCATGCTTTTATAGGGAACGAGAACGGGAATGTGCCGATAAACGAGGCTCCACTGTAGATGATACTTTGAATTTTTACCTCTTAGGGTGTTGCAGGTCAGAAAGATTGCATGTAAAAAGTTCTTAGTTGTTCAGATAGGACAGTAAACTGAGACCCTGTGTGCTACAGGCTGTTAGAGATCATCAACAGTTCCCTCATTGCACACTGTGTGGTGTTGGACAATCATTTTATAACTTATGTTCTTCAAGAACTGCTAATAAGAGTCATTCCAAGATTATAACTTACTTCGCCATCCAAATAAACTTAGTATTCAATTTACTGACAAAATTTCACTAAGTCATTTTGATGTGATGTGTTCTAAGATATACAATATAAAGCTTTTTTTTCACTTCATGAATACCCATCTTCATTAGCGCACAAGGTGCAGAAGAGTAGGACGTAAAACTCCATTCATTTCATTTCATTCACTTCATGAATCAATTAAAATCATATTTTTGTATTTTCCAGGATAATAGCAGACCAAGCTGTCCACTTTGTGGAAAAGAATTTAGTTCTCAAAGAAATGTTAAACGCCATATTCAATCAGCACATCTACATGTAAATTATCAATGTCCATATTGTGAGAAGATATGCACACAAAAATATCATCTTAAAGATCATATAATAAGATGTCATAAAGAGTCCAACATAGCTGTTCTTTCAGATTCTTAAAATAAGACATTTGGTTTGTAACAAAATATAATAATATAGTTTCAATAATGAAACATTTTCATTGTTAGGATAATGCTCAATACATCAATTGTAGAGTGATATATAATATAAAAACAGAACTTAAAAAACATGTTATTGTTACTTGTTTCATGCCATGCGATCTTTAGACAACTATTCTCAGACTGTCTGTACTGAATATAGTTAACAGTTAATATAGAATTTATTTAATAATGCTTACATATTGTCAGATATTTTTTTAAGAGGGTAATATCAGGATCCTATCTGCCATTGATCTATCAGAGATATCCATACTCTAATTACAGCTTAGTCAACTTAGTTTTACCTATTCTATCTAATTTTGAATAAGAACTTTTATATTTTAAGTATAAGAGATATTACAAAATATGTTGAATATAAAAAACTTTTAGCCAATAGCTGTAAGAAATCTTTGAATGACATTAAGAAGTATTTACCAAATACAAAACAATAAAATTTTCTGTATCATAATTTTCTACATGTAAATAATCTTCTGAATTTAAATAATATGAACCATGATTTATCCATTCCATTTTTGTTAAAATTTGTACATTTTGTAATAAAGACTAAGATTTTTGTTCTGTTCTTGAGCTAGTCGAACACAAAGTGAAATATTTTAAAGGAATAGATTCACCATCCGATTTACCAATTGTACTTTAGTCTCAGAAACAGGATTAACTAAGCTAATCAGTAATAGTTTTCACAGCTGACTGTCGAAATCAAAGCCTTCAAACCCAAGTATGTCCATGCTCCGTATTCTTGAAACGATCTTAGCGCTAGGATGTCCTTGGGTGTTAACTTCTAACACTGTTTTTAGGACGTCCTAGAGCTAAGATCGTTTCGAGAATACGGGTTCAGAATTATCCGCGATTGAATGTTAAAATGACAACTCTGCCATATATAGAGACAATATCTAAAGAAATAGGAAAAATTTGAGGTATTTTTGAAGGAATTATGTGATATTTGTATTTCTGAAAACTCTTCATATATTTAGGACCCAAAACTAAATCAACCACTGAAAATAGTAAATTTCTCCCTTAAAGCTAATATTCCACTTAGTATCAGTACAATTTGATTGATTGATGAAAGTATGAAGAACCTGAAAACAATGGTGTTGATCCGTTTCAAAAAACATTTAGAGAATTTTGCTCCACTTCTTGGTTGTGGTATGCTGATAGATGCATGGTCAAATTACTTTTTCTGGAGAATGATTTATCACAGATTGGACAGTTAAATCTGATATTTTCATGAACTTCTCGTAAATGTAGAGTTACATTGTATTTTCTAGTAAACGTCTTTCCACAAACTGGACACATTTTACTACTTCCTGCACCTAACTGATCCTGCAAAGATAAAGAAAGACCGTTAAAGAGAAATATTTTTCACATACATCAGTGAAACATGATATTGTTATGATCCCTGATATTATTATTTTATTATACACAGTTCAAAAAACCTGGTAATCTTTTATCAATGTTCACAAGGTGTTCTTTGGGTGTATACAGACTTTAAGAATGCAGATCTACATTTCTTTGTAACAATTTTGTTTATATGACCAAATTTACCAATCAAAACTGCTGACACAATTTGCTGACTTAGGGAACAAGAGAAGTGCCATGGAAAGCTGAAATGTTGTTGAATTCACTTATAACTTTATCTGTTAAAATTGCTTAGAAAATTCAAAATTTGTAATTTTTGTATCAGATTATGTTTGATTTCCATAAAATTTTTAACCAGGAATGTATGAGCTAGATTTTTATATTTTAAAAGGCCCTGTTTTTAGTGAAGTAGTGTTTCTGAGATCCACTGTGATGTACCAAATCAAAATTGTGGTTGATAAACATGATATCATTTTGAATATTTTCGATGTTGCAATATACATATATACATAAGTAAAAGCCCAGTAGGATTATAACGCTTATAACATGATTGACAAAGGTCTGACAGCTGGGGGAGAGGCCTCTTGTTGTCTTCTGCTCATTTTTAATCTGTATTTTAGTTTCTAAGAAAGTGTTTTGTTTGGTGAATCAGTTTATGTCACAGACCCTGTTACAGATTTGTGTAGCAGAAAATATGAAATAAAGTACAACGTCTAAAATATCTACAACACAGCAACTTTGGATAATACCATTAAAAAAAAATCCATTAGTGATCAAATTTAAAACTTCACATACTGAATTTTTAATATTGGTCACAGTTTATACAGCAAGACATGGAATGTCGAGACTACGAATGTGACTTGATTTTCATACTATTTTCCATAACCAATTTGATAATATATTTACACAATCATGAATACAATTGACCTATATTTGTTGTGGCACGTGCTGGGGGTGTGGCTAATATGTCAGAATTATCTGTGTAGACAACTTCAGTCACTCCCCTCTTTCTATACATCTTCGGAGTAAATTGAGCTATAACTAAAAATTAAACCTTGTTATAGAATGGCCAGGCTCCTCCCAATAAAAAAAATCAAAGGAAATTCTCGATGTCATATTATAAGTTTCAATATTTGACCAAATTATGCTGTACTATTGTGTTCTACCAGTTTCCACACTTTTTAGGAAAAAGTTATTTCAGTAGGGTTAGGTGATTTCTAGAATGGCTGACCAAAGCCCCTCCAAACAAAGCCCCTGTGCAATTTTGAACATGGACAAGAGCCCCTGCAGAAATAATTAGGTAGAAAAAAAGCCCCCTATGCCAAAATATTTGTATATGAAATAGATAGAAATTCTAGATAAAATGTTAAAATATATAATTTAAAATCATTGTATTTACATACAGATAGAATTATAGTTGAGAGTGATTATTTAAAATGATTAGTACAGGGTCTTTTAGTGGGGCCTATAGGTTTATTAATCAATAAACAATTTGTTTTATGTTTAACTAAAATGATAATGACTTCTTTTAATGACAATAAATCAATTAATTTATGGATATTAACTTCTATTTATTAGTTAAACACATTTCATTACACATACATCACTTGAGAACATTGCTTGTATGTGTAATGAAACCTATTTAAATAATAAATAGAAGTTTATATCAATAAAACTGTTGTTTCTTAATCTAATACTTCTAAATGTCTTACAAGGATTAGGATTTAAAATGTCTTTTATTAAATCCATTTCCATCTCTTTGATGCTTTTGACTTCTATGTATTAGCTAATTATATACACCACCAATGTGTAAAATCATAGAAAATTCAAATATACCTTTACAACTGTTACAGGAATAGTTTTAAATTGTGTCACCAAATCATAACCATGCTACAGAGACCTCTGAAGATTTTTTTTAAAATGGGTACTTACTGGTCTATTGTTAAATTACTTTATATAATGTGCTACAACTCTTTTTTTAGAATATAAAGATATATATATGCATTTAATAATTATATATATATATAATATATATATTTGTTGCGGAAAGTTGTCTTAGGTGATGGGGGCTTTGTCCTGGTGCAAAATTGCAAAGGGGCTTTTATCCGTAGGGGCTTTCTTCAGACCACCAATTTCTAATGTGTTTGTAATGAATTTTGCCCAGTATCAATATTACTGAACATAGCAAAATATGACAACATCACATGCAAGCAAAAGACACTGTTGAGAGCTTAAACTTTTATGAATCAACCATCACTTTCCATCTTTTACAAAACTTTAATAAAATGTCACATTTACATCAAAAACTGAACACATAAAATGTGTAATATAAAAGTATAATTTCATATCTTAATCTTCTACAGTTTTTATGCTAAACAATATTTATTTAGATGGAATTTATTCAGTAGATAACAATTTGTAAACTATTGTCTGAGAAACGTAAAAATTTTTTAGAATTTTTTATGAGCACTGTAATAGGAACCTCAAAATAGTACTAGTAGTCTCAGAATGTCTTGAAGTGGGGGAAAAAAATAAACATGAACACACATGTCTTTGAAATTTATTTTACAGAGGGCAATTTTCAGTCAAAATTTTAAACTTGTGTGGTTGAAATTTTTAGGGAGGAAATGTATTTCTTCTCAATATAAACTTACAAACTATTATATTTTTATCAACACAAGACATTCTAAGACTAAGAATACTATTTAAAGGTTGACATACAGACAAACTGGTGTGGTGAAGGAACATGACTGTATTGATGAAAAAATATTATAAATCAGACATCACAGTTTATACAATTTTATGTAATCTTTCTCTTTTTTATCTAAAAATTGTGATAATCCTATCACCATTTTAACAATGATTTTTAAAAGACAAGTGGTTGCCTAGCAAGATACGCCCACTTTCCCGATATATTTTCAGTATATCAAGGGCGGTCACCAATCGGTGTCAAATCATACCAAAAATCTAATTTGTTGATTTAATCAAACACACAAAATTTAATGAAATTCTGACATAAACATTACTGTCCCCTCTATCGCGTTCACAAGCCAACAAATTTTGATGCGTTTTAATTAAGTCAAGGGCAATAACTCAAATTCTGTTGATCGAAAAATTGTCAAATTCAAATTTGACTAAGATCTCATCATTATAAATAATCACACCCAACTAAATCGGTAGAAGACTGTAGTCTCAATTGTAGTCAGAAAAAATTTTTTTCCTAAGTCAAGGGCATTAACTCAAAAAAGGTTCATCAAAATATTGTCAAATTCAAACTTGATTAGGATCTCATCAATATGAATTAAATCAGAAGATGACTGTAGTCTCAATTGTGTTCACAAACAAATTTTAACAGGTAACAGTCAAGGGCAATAACTAAAAAAAAGTTGATCGAATTATCGTCAAATTCAAACTTGATCTCGTCAATATAAATGATCACACAAAATTTCATTAAAATCAGTTGAAAGCTGTAGTCTCTGTTGTTTTCACAAACAAATTTTCCTAAGTTGAGGGCAATAACTCAAAAACCATTCATCGAAAGATTATCAAAATCAAACTTGTCTAAGATCTCATCAATATCAATAATCCCATCAAATTTCATTCAAATCAGTTGAAAATTGTGCCTCTATTATGTTCACAAACAAATTTGGATTCTTTTTTTGTAAGTCAAGGGCAATAATTCAAAAAAAGTTCATCGAAAGATCTTCAATTTCGAACTTGTCCAAGGTGTCTCAATTGTGCTCACAAGCCAAATATGGACGGATTGGGGCGACGACAATATACAGCATTATAATATGGCTGTATAAAAATGGAGATTATCTCATAGTACACAAACAATATCTGCAGATTTTGATTCTGTAAAAATAACTAAGGTAACATTATGGAAGGTACTAACAATCTAATTTGAATTAAATGATTTCATGACTATATCCTTGTAACTTTTAGTTTTGATCAGACTGATTTTCCCTCTGCTTGATTCACAATTGAGCAACAATATTCAAGTCAAATTTGACAACAAGTTATTGAATTATCAGAACTTTTCTTTATATTTCAGGTTTCCTGCAGACCAAGCTGTCCACTTTGTGGAAAAGAATTTAGTTCTCAAAGAAATGTTAAACGCCATATTCAATCAGCACATCTACATGTAAATTATCAATGTCCATATTGTGAGAAGATATGCACACAAAAATATCATCTACGTTCACATATAGCTAGTCGTCATGGACAATATAACAACATAGCTCATGAATGACTGAGCTGAAGAGTTAGTTCCTGATTTTTAAATTGATTAATTTGTACATCGTCCATGTTTTTTACTCAGTTTCTCATCTGTATATTATAATCCTACACATGGTGCAAAAGACTTTAGCCATAAGAATCAGTCAAACATTTTGATTTATAGATCAACAGCTCTATTTGTGGTTGTCCATAAAATGTACTCTTAAATAATTTTTTCTTGAGAATGATTTATCACAAATCGGACAGTTAAATCTGATATTTTCATGAACTTCTCGTAAATGTAGAGTTACATTATATTTTCTAGTAAACGTCTTTCCACAAACTGGACACATTTTACTACTTCCCTGAAAAAGAAAGAATGTTTTGTATAAAATATTTTTCTTTGCCCTTGACATGGCAAGATGCCATGTTAATTTTGTTCAAATCTGTAAATATAAGTTATATATAAACTTCCTTGAGTGGCATTTAGTAACTGGGGTATGAATAACTGGACACAATTATATAAATAACAATTAATTTAATAAATAACTTGCAACGTTTCGATGATGATGCTTTCATCTTTATCAAGCAATGATACAAAATAACAGAGGAGTGAGAATAAATGGTTTACATGGTTTCCCATAAGAATGCTATTTGTAACCCTAATCCATTGATCCTAATTATCTCAATTGATTAATCAAGACTTCTATTTGTAAATGTATTCCTTTATGTTAATCACCCTTGTCAACTATTTATTCTCACTGCTCTGTTATTTTGTATCAACAACGAACATTAACTTGTCAACTACCAACCAACCTGATTGTGTATCATTGCTTGATAAAGATAAAAGCAGCATCGTCGAAACTTATTTGCAAGTTATTTGTTAAAGTAATTGTTATCCATATAATTGCATCCAATTAAGTTATATTATAAGATTCTAGAATAAATTCAGACCAATATACTACACTAACAGATCATAATCGAATTGATATTATGGATCATAGATTTTCATCTAAAATTGAAATCTCCAGGCAGCACATTGATGATCTTACAACTCATACTAAAAATACAGTATGATGTCACTTAACAGTTTGCTCTGAAATACAGACAACAGGCAGCCTGACGTATGTAAGCAGGAAAGGTCATGCTGTATTTATGTTCATATCTAAATATGTGTAGTATTTGAGTTGTAATCTTGTAATACATAATCTGGGGTGTAATGGCCACTTTTAACTTTCATTGGAATTTTCACTGAAATTGTTTCACATCTTGCTGCCTAAAATAATAACAGTGTTACTAAACTGTTGAGGAGAAATTGCTAAATCATAACATCTGAATTATTGACTTACATTTAGAGTCTATTACCAAAATTTATGATTTGTGTAGGAACTATGGGCTATTTTCTCATGTTGACTTAATCTGTCCTTTCTACTGTAACATTTGTTACACTTTTGACACTGGAATTTATATTGTAGATGTTTGGAGTTCATATGTCGATATAAGGAACCATTTTGGGTAAATGACTTATCACAAATGTTACACTTGTACTTTCCATATGAACTGGCATTCATCTACAAGAAATAAAAAGAAATGTATATTTGAAAAGTTTATTAAAGAATTTTTATTGTGTAACAAAACTTTATACATGAAATATATCAATCCCAAATTTTCATTTCACTATAAAGATTTGGAATCAAACTTTTATTGCGACTATTCAGTTTAGACTTAAAATGTTTCAGACGGAAACTGAAATTCATCAAAACATTTAACAATGTCATCGATGTCTGATTCTAGACAGAATTAAAAACTTTTTCTTCACAAATATTTCTTAAAGGGACAGCTGTGCCATTTAGGGGGGTTGATTTGAGTCTTAAATATATGTAAATAGTCTTCAGAAGTACTAGAAATGTACGAAAATCGTAAAATTCCTTCAAAATATCTAAAACTGGGAATTTCTTTGCCTCAAAAATGACTTGTCTTTTTACCTTTCAGCATGGATAATTCTGGATACAAAATGATTTGAAGGCTAAAAGTTCGTTTGAAATTTCTGTGTTTTAAAAACACCTGCTCCTATCAGATATCAATTACAACTTTTGGTTATTTATTTAATATCTTATCATATAATAATTGCTTTAGCTACTTCATAAGTTATCTAGCTATTATCCATAATATACAAAATTTATATGGATAGCTCTTGACTTAACAACTACATTTGAAGTTGGCCCAAGGTCAGATGATACAGTTTTCAAATCTAAATTATGATATTATGCAATTTTTTTCAGCGGGGTTAGATGTTTGGTGTAATGACCTTACTTGACACTTAGCTTTGTCAATTATGCAAAACTGAAACTTACAATCAATTTAACTCTTGGAAATAAAAGTAAAAGAGCACAAGATTTATTAAATATTTCATAACATAATAATGAATTGCAGTTTAAATGAATGTAAAAATATTTCTCTGAGATCACAGAGTTGTGTTAAACGATGAAAACAGCTTTCATTGCTTTGTCTCCTATTGGCATCAGTAACACACTTTCTGGTAACTAATAATTCAATTTTGGCATACAACCTAACCCATATCATACATATCTTGCGTCTTAAATGACATCCATCACTGTAGACCAAAATCATTCACTTATCAAGGTCTCTCATTCAATAACACACACCAGTAACAGTCATGGTAATGTTAGTCGTGACCGAAAGTGACAAACAGACATATGCCTTCTCAAATAACCTTTTGATGAATACCAACTTGAGCACAGTTCACACTTGAATTTTCTTCTAGACCCAGTTGAAGTCTACAATAAAATAAACAATAATTTTGTTTTTTTTTCACTTTGTATTTGCCACATTTTTTATTGGATGAAAGGTTGCAAAGGTCAACAAATTTGAGATGTAACAAATTACATGTATATAGAACAAAACTAGAGAAACAGACAAAAGATGAAGTCAATCTAATCGTAGAGTAGAATAGTTCTAATCGTAGAATAGTTTAAGATTTTTAGATTTTTTTCATGCCATATTTCTTCAATATATGCCTGCTTAGATCCTCGTTAGGACTTTGAACATACACAACAGTTATAGCGAGATTTTAAATGTTGAACTAAAACATGGTGTGTCAGATGACTTTCAGCGATCACATAAATCACACTTGTAGGTTCCAATACACCCAGTTACAGTCTACAAAATAAATGAAATGTTCATCATTTTAAGAGATACTTCCTCTTAGAAAGAACATAAAATATTTAACTTCTCTTAACCTGGACTGGATGGACTGAACCTAAGAGGTAGTATTCCTTTAAAATCTCTTTTTAGCCAATATGTAATGGAATATGCAATGAACCTAGGCTAACAAAGATTATAGTTGAGAAAATAGTCAAATATTATAGTCCAGAAAACAATCAAGATTATAGAAAACAGTCAAAGATTATAGTCTAGAAAACAGTCAAAGATTATAGTCTAGAAAACAATCAAAGATTATAGACTAGAAAACAGTCAAAGACTATAGTTGAGAAAATAGTCAAAGATTATAGTCCAGAAAACAATCAAGATTATAGAAAACAGTCAAAGATTATAGTCTAGAAAACAATCAAAGATTATAGTCTAGAAAACAATCAAAGATTACAGTCTAGAAAACAGTCAAAGATTATAGTCCAGAAAACAATCAAAGATTACAGTCTAGAAAACAATCAAAGATTACAGTCTAGAAAACAGTCAGAGATTATAGTCCAGAAAACAATCAAAGATTATAGTCTAGAAAACAGTCAAAGATTATAGTCCAGAAAACAATCAAAGATTATAGTCTAGAAAACAGTCAAAGATTACAGTCTAGAAAACAATCAAAGATTATAGTCTAGAAAACAATCAAAGATTATAGTCTAGAAAAAAGTCAAAGATTACAGTCTAGAAAACAGTCAAAGATTATAGTCCAGAAAACAATCAAAGATTATAGTCTAGAAAACAGTCAAAGATTCCAGTCTAGAAAACAGTCAAAGATTATAGTCCAGAAAACAATCAAAGAATATAGTCTAGAAAACAGTCAAAGATTATAGACTAGAAAACAGTCAAAGATTATAGTCTAGAAAACAGTCAAAGATTACAGTCTAGAAAACAGTCAAAGATTACAGTCTAGAAAACAGTCAAATATTATAGTCCAAAAAACAATCAAAGACTAGAGCCACTCGTGGCACAGAGTGGGACTTTGCAAATGTAGCAAATTGCAAAAGACTCTGAAAAAATCAACTTTCTACGATAATTACATCACGCGCAAGAGCAGTCTAAAGTTGAGAAGAATTCTTTGGAAGATTGTTATAACGGAAGTAGACAGACCTCACAAATGAAAGTATCAGAAGATAGCCAAGATCAATGACATTTGACATTGAAAGGGAGAGGGTCAACAAAGGTTAAGGTTACGAGATACAAGTCATCAAAATTTTAAAATATATTCGGCTATAAAACCGGAAGTTGAGATAGGACAGCAAATATAAAAGTATAAATAGATAGCCAATGTGAATGACCTTTGATCCTACAAAAATCAGGGTCAAAAAAGGTCAAGATCAAAAATTGAAAATTTAGAATTTTCAAAACCTGTTCTTTTTTTGAACTATAAAGCTGAAACAATCGAACTTCTAAGACAACGTGGCTCAACGGATGAAGTAATTGTATGCAAAGTTCCATTTTGAACAAATGTATACGTTGCGAGTTAAGTCCCTTGTCAAAATTGTCAATAATGAGTAATTTAACCCGGATGTGCTACGCCCACCTCAATTTCTTTTGCATAGGTTAATTGATATTCTGAATGTTATGTTGTGTCCCAAATTTAAAGCTTCTACATCATACAGGTCAAAAGATATAGGTCAACAAGAGTCAATAAAGGTCAAAATAGAAAATTGAAAATATGGAAATTTCAAAACCCGTTCCTTTTTTAGAACTATAAAGCTGAAACAATTGACCTATTAACACAAACTGGCCAAAATAATGAGGTAATTGTGTGCAAAGT